AGTGAGCTCAAGCCCCCTTGAACCCTGAGCCATGCACCACAAGCTTCACGGGGGCTACCCCTACTGCTCTCTCTAAGCAAAACACCATGGTCCAAACCCAGGTCCCCATTTCCTCCCCTCTGCCCACTCGTACTGCTCCCTGTTCCTTGCTAATCCCTACATACACATCCCTTCTCGAGATTTAAAGCAAGCATGAATTCACCTGATCAGAACCCCCCACATATTGGAAAAAGTGATAAAATGCATCTTGTATTCACTGTACAGGAGCTAACCTCTCTTTAATGATTAATTTGCCTTCTGACTAGCAAACATACTTTTTAATTTAATATAAATAAGTAGAAATGGTTATGCTGGCAGTGTTATCAATAATCAAGTTTCAAAATAAATTACATTCTGTTTTCCATACACAAAATGTTTTGAAACATTTACTTTCTAGCTTGTTTTCTATGAGAATATAAATTTCAAACTGAGTCAAACCTCTTCAGCTACTTTGCAGTTACCCACAAGTTAAAAAAGAGCGACTGTTAGAAACTTAATAATATTCCTCTTGAAACAAAGTTGTTTAAAAACCTTTCATGTAGGGAAGTGGGAGCTGGACATGGCATGGGCCTGATCACAGCAGATTTAACCAGTGGAATGAAACAGGATAGACCATTTTGAAATCACAGTGCGCACAAAAACTCGTAATCTTGTCATTAGGGACCTGTCCCAAAGCTCATGGGAATCAATTGTGGAAATCTTTACATAGCCTTCTCTAAGCTCTATAGTCTTAAAAGCATTTCGGATGCGAGCCCTCAATATTAAGGTGATTTCTTAAGAAAAACTACAAATGCACTTTCATTTTAGAACACACATTTGAGAAGTCACTCTCCTACACATGGACCAATGAATTCTTTCCTTCTGATCTTTGAAAGAAGTCTAAACTGTTCATTGCATCTTACACAACACAATTAAATGACCTCCCAAAGATGCATTTTCTTGTGCTCACAGTGTATTCTCAACCACATGCTTCAATATGAAGCTGCATATAAATGGCTACAGCAGTAAGGGACATATATAATAATGTATATTATATATATTCTATTCCTAAGACTCCTGAATAAATTTTCCCAATGAGATGATAAAAATAAAGGTAAACTTTACTGGAATGGGTACTGTTCTAGACTATATTATATAGTAATTGACTCCAACATTGGATGTAGCACCATTTACATTATGGGTGCTTACAAGGCAATGTTTTGTAAATGTAAATGTTTTGTTTTGTAAACTAAGAGTTTTTTTATTTTGTTTTAGAGCTACTGAGCTCTCACATGCCATTGTAGAGTTAATGCGGTACAAAGCCCTAACTTTTGACCTCCAAATCACAAACAACAATCAAAATGCGATTTGACTTTCTCCATTGAAAGAACATGGCATGAAGGAGTAAGCGTGAGATATTCTGACGGTATTGAAAAATGCTGATTTCTACTGTTCTTTATACGATCTGAGGGTTTTTTTTTAAGCCAATCAAATACCATTGTATGGCATGCCATGCTGCATCACTGTTCTCATGAAACATGCTTTATATAGATAAGTATTATTTTTGTTGTTCTTGTGGAACAAGTTTTTGTTCCACAATTTTTACCAACATCATTCCACATATATTGCTATATCCGGAACACATTTTATTTACAGTGGAAACTGTCACTACTCAAATATTCACAAATCAGCATAATCTTTCAAAAAGCTTTATTAAGTTTTTGTCTTCCTGTACAGTATTGGAAATGCATCACTATAGTATTTAAATACTAATTTAATTAAAATAAGACAGCAGTGATTTAGGAAGATTACTCCTTTCCTCTGCTTACCATTCTTAAAATGCAAGGTTGGTATATTTTCACTTGCTGCTACCACCTGTGTGTCACTGTGAATTTCAGGAAAAAAAATTAATCAAATGGTTTAATTTCATGTTCAAGTCTGAAAGGCATTCAGAACAGGAATCTGATTTTTCAATTACATTGTCTGCAAAGCCATGCCTCAGTAAATATTACAGGAGGAGCACCTGAAAAGACAGTCTTGTGAAACAAGTTTAAAATATTGCTTAATGGAAGAAGTTGGATTTGTACTGAATTAGAAACCAGACCTGCATGTAAAATTAGGAGTATTCTGCAGCACTGAGTCTCTTGCTCAGTGCTCCAACCACTCATATCACTGAAAGAACACAAATGCCCAATTCTGATTTGGGGCAGGGGAGAAGAGAAAGAACAAAGCCGAATTACTCAGTTGACCCAGGCTGGCTCTGCAGAAGCTTAGTCAGAGGTTAAAATAATGACAAGCAGTAGGATGTTATAGGCAAAATACACTTTTCAAGGAAACCAAGATGGTTCAGGCAGGCTAAGCAATGTTTAGGATCAGACAAAGAGATAAGGAGGCAGAAGATTTTTCAAGTTCTCCAAGAAGCCTTTATCAACACTGTTCTTATGGGCCTGGTTGGAACTGCAATCTGACTAAGTTACTAATGGCTCTCTTAGATGTAAAACTGTTTGCATCTACATTGGAAATTAGTGTGCTGGAAGGATTCTTCCTAGGTATTGTCTTGGAATCTCAAAGTAGGCACGTGAGCACATCAATGTTGTTTCTCAAATCATTCGCCTTCTGATGGAACTGAGGATGAAGTTGCTCACCAGCATGCCACCATATGTGTAGTGTTTGTTGTGTAGACTAGTGTCCTCCAGCAGTTTGCACTCTGTGTATGCATCGTGCATACTCAGGGCCAGTAACTGGCATGAACTTCACTGCCAGGTGAAGAACTGATGTTGTCTGGCAACCCCAATGAATTGCAACAAATCAAACCCTGTTCCTTCCATCTTTGCAACCTCATCAGTTGGTGATGTAGTCATAACAGGTAGGACCTTCGTTGGGCAGCAACTTGAATCACTTGACTCAGCAGCCAAGTGTTCTTTCCATTTCTGCTAAATTTCTGAAGCATAAAGTCTTGGCCTATCTTCAGCAAAGGAATGCGGTGAGTGCTTTTACAAACACAGATATCACAGGACTCTACAGGGTACCACACACTTCCATTACGGAGCTTGTGTGCCATGAACTTTAAATAGATCAAAGGCAAGACTGGAAGTAGAAGGATCCTGCCTGACGAATCCGTAACTATGAGGATCAATCAGTTGTGTTCTACAAGAAAGAAATGTTAGCCAGTGCAAAGGCTGATGTAGCTGTGAGGCTGTGCTGACAAGCACAAGGTAGCTCTACGCCCAAGTTCTTGGAGGTTGCAATTTTGAGGTCAGTTACTCCAGATGATTAGACTGGAATTTGCCCAACATTAGAGCAGGTACGCTGAACCAAGATTATTCTAATTTTGCATTAATTAAAAAAAATAAATTAATATCAGTCACAGTAAAAGTAACTTCTGTATTAAAAAGCAGTTAATTCTAATAACAGTTACTGTCTACAAAATTGTACCTGATTTCACATTTTAAAGATTCAAATACAGCTTGTAAAACAACACGGAAGGGCTAAAATAGGAAACATTCATAAATATGTCATGTTTTCCCTGCTCAATGATCTCCAAAACAGAAAAGCAGAACAAAGTTTGGACCAAATTATCTTAAATTTATCTAACATAGATATTTTTGATCAATAGCAGAATGAAAAATTGAAGTTAACTGCAAAAGTAGTAAGGTGCTACAGGAGTCACTCATCATTATAAAACTAAGCATATGCACATATGTTTACCAAGTCAGTGATCTCTTAGTTTTCAGTAAAAAGAAGAGAGTTTGTAGCTCATTTCTGGAGAAAAGATTGAAAAGATGAAACCCAGTGAGCCACCCAATAAAAAGTCTAATTATACTGAGTTATCAAATGTTTTAATTTAAAGCCCGCATCACGCATTTCTGAGGCCCAACTCAAGAGTTTGAGGTCCTACTGTTATACCAATATTATTACAGCCTATTTCACTTCAATATTCCCATGTCTACAGAATTTGAGCTGCAAATAGTACAAAGAAATACGTATTTCAAAACACCTGTTTTGTTTTAGTTCTTGATGCATCAGTGAAATGCTTTCATGAATTTCAGCTTTTTGTTAATTACTAATCAGTGGCCTCCATTCCAGATTAAAGTGTCCTGTTATAATACACTAAAATACTTGAAATAATAACAGAGGATTTGAATAGCATATTTGTAGGAATTTGTTACCATAACTAAGGGGAAAAACCCACCATATCTATCAATACTTACCAAACTACAAGGAAAAGAAGTGTGTGATATGCATTCCGCAAGCAAAATGAATGTATCACAGCTACACCTCCTTATTTTCCATCACATTTAAAAGTCAGCTACTAGGAAACAGCTCTAAGCCATGATCTTTAAGACAGTGAACTCACATTAAAGAGATCAATGCAGATTAGGCACGTACAGAAAAAGTCTCTAGGAATGAGATGAACTCCACCTTCTGAAGGACTATGGGTAAAATGGGAAGCATTTATAAATTTTTAAATGGCCAAGATTTCACTGCTGGATCAAAGTGGTTGATAAGTGAATATTTTTATTTGGGGTTATGCTTCCATTGCAAATGGCATTACTTAGGCACTGGTGGGTTCTAATGGTTAAAATTTACCATCTCCATATTGCTGTTCTCAAATAATTTCTCTATGCGTACATATGCATTACTTATATATAAAATTAGAAGAACTCCCTACTGAAAAAAGAAAGCTTTTTAAGAAAACAGAAACAAGCCTCCAATAGGAGGATATAGGAATATACCTGGACGATGTTGTTAATTTAAATGTTCTCATACTCTTCAGCTCAAGATGCACCACGTACATTTAATATTTCTTTAAGTAAACAGACTTAGGATTTTATTGTGCTATGTATTAAGCACTTCTCCAGTAATTTCTTCTCTTCGGAACTGTAACTATGCTCTTCACTTTTTAGGGATTAATGAAACACAGTGATGCATGACATGAATGGCTTATACAGACTGCAGGAAGAGAAGCCAATCACCTTTACCTGAAGTGGGAGACTTGCAACGCTCTAGCTCCAGGGAAACTGGACTGTCACTGAGTTCAGTCAGGCCTGAAAAAATGGAGTTAAAAAGTTAAGTTACAATCTAACAGGGCATGCTTCAACTTTCTTGGTTGATGATATTCTGCACTTTAAAGTCAATTTGGAGAAAGGAATGGTGTGAAATGCAAGGGAAATATCTATTTCAGATAACTGCAGTTATCAGTCTGTCACTGCAGAAATTTAGGTCTGGTTTAAAAATCACACCTCTTGTTAACTCAGATTTGTTTTCCGAGTGCCTCAGGGTAGACAAAGAGCGGCTGTACCTAATGAGAGAAAACAAGTAAATATAGCCTAAAGTTTACATGTCTGTGATATGAATCAAACTCATTCATCCCTGTCAAACTGATGTGGAAACAAGTCTACGCTTTCTACTGCTGCAGAATGCAGGGAGGAAACCTTAAAACGGGGAGAAGAGGAATAATAATAAAAAAAAAAAGACAGTACTGGTGAAAGAAGAGAGTGAATACAAAAATATCACCACTACTATGCAATATTAGGAACTTTTGTATGAATTCACACAAGATAGCTCATTTTAAAGGACACAGAGGCAATGATGATGCTGTCTGAATATAACACAATTTTTGGACAAGATACTTTATATATTGTTTATAAATATTTGTGAGGAACTCATTTGTAGCAGTGTACCATGGACAACAGCAACAAGTAAAGTAAGCTTAGTTTACACTGCTAAAGCTTGGGCTTGTTTTTGTGATCAAACTTAAGATCCATCTTTGGCACAGGTTGCATGTACAAGTTTAAATACACTTTTTGGCATGCTAGGGAGAGAAAGTCTAAGCTCATGCTACCCTTTACCATGGGCTAACTGTGAACTGGGCATGGCCATACCTATTCAAATGTACCCTTTGTATGTATCCCATGGTGCCCTATGGCCTATATCAAGTTGTTCACACTTGTTATAAGGAGCTTAGACACTTCATGCCATAGGCTATTTGGGACTGGAAGGTAGCCTAGCACCAGACATCCATCTGCTGGCAATGTTGACTCACAGCACTCAGGTCACAGACCCTAGTGAGCATTAGCCCACATTCAGATGTGCGTCATTGTGGTACTGATACTGTGTTTATGCACACTCCGCATACATTGTATCTTGGAAGTCAAACATCCTATCATGACCTTTCAATATGCTTTAATCTGGCACCATGCCTCCAGCAACCTGGCATGTTTTAATTTTTATGGCTTCTGTAGTATCAGGCTCAGAGACCCTCATCTCTAAAACTCATATCGCTCTTGTTTTAAAAAAAATCTGCTACCATTTGATCACCAGTGTTGTTGTCTTTCTATTACAAAAAGTGTGATCCTAGTGTATGTACTGATATTTTTATTACAATGTAATTTTGAACTGCTCCGAGAAATGGAGAGAATCCAGAGCCCCAACAAGCAGAATAAAAAGCTCCTACCACTAACGAAGCTGCATGAGTATTAGAACAACTTTAAGAGCGCTTTGGAAAAACAGCAGTATTGATTGGGCCTGTTAAGTCAGTAGTAATGACATACTTGCACCTGGCTTTTAAACAACAAGAGATCACAAACTAGATACTAATGTTGAAAACCAAAGATTTTTTTATTTTGGGAAACGTACTTGAATCTTTCTTTGATTCAACTTAGAATCGGTGAGAGAATTTTTTATTCCAATCAGTTGTGAGCCCAGCCACTTTTGACATTACGATAGAATTCAGGAACTGCAACCATGTAGGGAGCCTCTCTATGTATAGCTTTCCTACAGCAAATCTTCCTTCTACCTGACTCTGGGGTTCCTGTATGTACGTAGAGATTTGGTACACAATTGATTTTTGCTGCACAACTGTCTGCAAGGGAGCAAATTTGCATACATTTGCATAGCATCAGAGGCCCCAGATTAACAAAATTAAGTATAAGCTATTTCTTCTGCAAATGCAGTATTAGAGATATTCAAATTTTAACACTATGGTTATGATGTTGTGATTAATGAAGTTCTTCTAAACCTTATATAGTCACTATTGATGATAGTTACAATGTAAAATGCCAGGTCAGATTTTGCTTCTAAACAGAGGTTTGTTGGATTTTTTTTTTTTTTTTTTTTTTTTTTTTGAGTTCACACAAATCATATTACAGCTCAATATAAATTATGGTGCCACTGACTTAAGCAGGAAAAGCACCAAATCGCACCACTATTCTGAAAATCCAAGAGCGCAAGAGCAACCAGCATGGGAATACCACAAGATCTTTATGTTTGGCAACACTTTTACAACTTACAACAGTAAAGATACATTTCATGTTATGGTATTTAAAAATGGTGAACATGTGAACTTCTCTACAAATCTAGACTTCTTGTCAAGCCATTATCACCTCTAATAATGACCATAAACAGATGCTTTTAAAAAAAGAGCAGTAAGTCCCCATGTTAAGCATAAGTGGTACTATGTGCCCTGCACAAGGGCATTGTCTTAATCTCAGACTCTTAAATTTGCTTAAGCAAATTTTCAGATTTTCTTTCAGATTTTCTCCCGCCATAAATCTTTCTTGCTTAGAAATATTATACTGACTTCTGATTATCCATCCATGTATCCAAAGTCACTTTTAATTTTACTAAGTTCTAAATCCCAAAGATGTTATATAGCAATGAACTGCACAATCATCATTCGCTGAAAGGAATAAACATTCTTGTCAATTTTCATGTGTTACTTTTGATTCTGCTAAATGTTATCTTTTATTTCCCTTTCAGATAAGAAAGAGCTCTCAAGCTTTTCTTTGTACTACTGCTTACTTTCTACTGTCATTTTCTTTTTAAGGAAACCAAGCTAAATCTTTTCAATAATTTATCACGTATAAGTATTTCTATGCAACTCAGCGTCCCTTGAATGTTTGAGAGACTGCAACAGCTACTGTAGTTAGATTACAAAAATATTTTTACTTTTCATTTTGAAGTTCTGTAGGCCAAATCTGTGTCTCAAGATATTTTAGATATTTTTAGCCAAAAACCCCACCCCATGCCAGCAAATTTTGAGTCCAGGTAAAGCAAGAAGAACATAGCAGCAAAACTAAAGGCAAATAACTGAGTTTGGCAATGTAAACCACCACCTGCGAGAAGATGTACACATTATCATTATAAAGAAGTTGGCTTTGATTTGGACATATTATAAACATGTGAAAATAGCACAAGATGTAAATAAGGTATTAAAGCACTTTAAAAGACATGTTTCATGGCTACTTTTCAGGGTTTACTGTGATTCTCATTTCCTCTTTATTAAAGGATCAAAAAATATACTGTCTAGTATGGACTAACAACTTTAATGAACTCATAATTTAATTTAAAATTACTTTTAAAATTTTAGATCTTTCTCTCTATGATTAAATGATTCAGACTGATCATTTACCTAAAAGCACCCAAAGCCATCACATCTCTGCTTAGAAATAAATGAATTATAAATAAATTATCATAAATATTCACAAGCCAATAAGTAAGTCCAGTGTTACCTTAATCCATCATCTTCAGACTGAATTACCATGCTATGTTTTCTTTATGTTTAAATAGGGTGCATTCTTTGGAAATGACAGTTAGTTCAGAATATAGCTATTGACTTCAAACTCAACCTATATTAGCTTCTAGTGTGTTGTCAGGTGTGATTTAAAGTGTCAATTACTGATATGTAATGACTCATAACACACAGTTCTCTGTGTCCTCCTGTCAGACCAAGGTTACTTTTGCTCACATCCTCTCAAGAGACTGGCCTGAAGGAGGAAGAAGGAGTTTTCACTGAAAAGTCCTCATTCTGAAAATTATTTTCTAATGGATGAACATCCTTTGAACTTTCCGCCTTCTTGGATGCTACATAAAGGCTATTTATTTTCTTGTTTTACCAACAGATGGTATGAATTTCTAGTAGGACCTGCAAATTGCTTTTGCAAATTGGCATTTTTATTTTCTGCTGCAAACAATATCTCTCTAGATGCAGCAAATGTACTTGTTTTAATATTCAAATATATGTTATCTACCACTAGGTAATAACATGTACAACTTGATTCCATTTGGGGGGTGGAGGGGGGGGAGAAAACCAACCAAACACCACCACAGTTCTGCACTACTCCAGAGAGAGTTTATTTTATTTATCTTGACACACGTTCTTGCTACAAAGGAAGGTGGCTGCCAGCAGATGTTATAGCAAATGGAACACGTCATCAACACCAGAAAGCTACCTCCAGCTCTGCAATTACCCTCATCTTAACCTCTCATTTTCCTCAAATTACCTCCCCTGACAGGACAAGTATGTTTCAGGCTCTCCCACTATGAATGCCTAGAACTGATTACATTTCTCCTTTTGATTTCTTCCCTTCATGCTTCTCCCTTCCCACTTTCACCTCCCAAACCAGAGAATGTGCTGTCTTAATGCTCTAAGTCTATTCTAGATGCTTTTGATTCTAGCTTACAGATGTATACATTACTCTTATCAAGCTCTCTATAGATTTATTGGCTAAAAGTCAAAATGATTATTCCACCACTGTGCTTTCCATATTGGATACAATTGACATTGTTGATATGTCTTTCCTTTGGAAAACCTATCTTCAACATATTGCTTCTTTTCCCTGTTTGATTTTTTTTTTTTCCTTTTCCTCTTCAGTTGCAAGGCACCCCACACTGAAACATCAACACTTCCATTATCTCTCTGTCCCAGTATTAGAGGGGATTCTCTCCTGTAAACATGGCAATAAATACTTTTTTTACCCTAATGATTTATAAATACACATCTCTAACTTGGATTCCTTCCATCCAAGTTAGAGTAGTAATCCTGCCTTTCTAAAATTTACTCACAAGTCTCCAGACATGAACTTAACATTTGCAAGATAAACTCTATTTTTTTCTGCTAAAGTCTTCTCTTTACTACTGCAACACAGCTAACAGCACCACTGTCTTCCCTGATACTCTAATTCATAGTATTGGTTTGATCCTTGGAACATCACTCTTTAACTCTCGGGTTCAGGCTGGATACTAAACTAGACTGTTTATTCCTGCAAATCCCCTCCAAAACGACCAACAAAAGTCTAAATGTCTTACTCGTTGATAATCTCTTATGTGGCTTCAATGCCTGCAAGTCTTATTCTCTCAAACTGATCCTCATGAAATTATCTTCCTGGTTCATTACTTAATTGAATCAACTCCTGATATGTCTTCCCATTAACTTCCATTTTCATTTATATAACCCTCAAAACTTTAGACCTAATGCTTATGTTATCACATGACTGTTTCTGCTTTTGCCTTAATACTGTCAGCTTCAACTGCACAATTTCAAAAATAATTTATTTTTCTTTTCCCATCATCATCCCTTACGAGAAGAGATAAACTTGTAAGCAAAATCCTAAATCCATTCTCAATACCCGTCTTAAAACTCATATCTCAGATAAGACATATAACAAAGCATAACTCGAGAATGACTTAGCAAGATATTTTACAGTCTATGACACATTCTTGCCCTGTTCTTTACCTTAATGCCTGGTGCATCTTTCAGATCATACCATACATACTCCTATATAAGTATCGAATGGCAAAAGCAACAACAAAATAATTTTTGAGCAAAGAAATAAAGCTGTTAATATGATCTTGCACAAGAGTCAGAGTCATACGCTTTAGTTATGATGCATACAGAAAGATTTTGTGGACTTTTCTGATTTTGGGGTTGAGGATGGAAACAAGATAATACATTTTCAGCTATGAAAAACTCCACGGTCTATGTCATTTTGAATGAAAACGTTGGTCATACACTGAAAGTGTAGTTGGTCATTTTTGGTCTTAGAATTTATTAATTTTTTAGTGGGGTAAACCCCCCAAACCTTCGACTGCTGCCTGTCTCTCAGGTTTTCCGTTACACCCTCAAAATAAGACCAGACTTTAAGCCATTATACACCAAACCCTTTTTATGGACTGCTGGATTTGTAACTGGACCAGTCTTTTAACCAAGCAGGCCACCTTTTATGAAGTGTTATGAAATAAAATCATAGAAATCGGTTGTTGAGTAATTAGTCAAGATCACCCAAATAAAATTTATTGTGTGAGTGTACAAATGTATTTCAATAGCTACACAACTCTATATTTACGTGAGATGATAAGACAACTGCCACCCCTTTATCTTGCCTATACTGAGTATTTAATGTAAAATTGCCTACCCAGTTGTTCTGTGAAAACTACTTTAAAAAGAGATGAATAAGAGGCATCCTGGAGACCTAATTACATATAAGCACTGCAGTTAATTAAGATACACACAGCTCATCTGTTGAACAGTCATTTTTGCAAAATTAATTATAGCTTTGTTCATCGCGTTCTGCAGTGATGAATACTAATATTTAAATTGAGTATGACTATAATTCAAAATTTAAAGATATTAAAAACATTAATTTTCATAGCTCTCTTTGATGTGTGTATTTTTATACCCACTTTACATTCCCCATTAAAGATCAGAAGCATAGGATGGTTCCCCAAAGCCAAATATTCAAGTACCAAACCCAGATTAAAATTTTAAATTTCACAGCACCCAATCCAATTGGTACTCTCTTAAGCCACATTGCTCTTCTGAAAATAAGGAAGAATTAATCAATAACTACAACCAGGCAGTGCCATTGCAAAACAAGAAATGCTTCATATAAGTAGATGTACACTGAAATGAATATAAAATCAAAGAAAGATACTGTCATCAAGAACATAACGTTGTCGAAAAATCACTTCTGAGGCCCAATCTGCCCCATATAAGTCACTGAGGTTTTCTCATTGACTCTTTTGGAAGAAGAAAACAGATTTGAAATATCTGTTTAATAAAGACCATTTTTAAAATTAAGCATGGTTGACATCACAAAATGTAATAAGTTTGCATGCATGCTGAATGTGTTTAAAAAAAACACATTACAAAGCACAAACACATGGGTTTAAGTCAGGCATAGTCCAATCATGATAAAGCTATTTGCCTAACCTTTATAGAACTTACTCTGATAGGAAGTACGGATCCGTTTCGTTAAATCTGGATAAAAGTTAGACAGGCCACGCATGCAAAAGTTGTCTTTGGAACATGCCAGTACACCAGCATCAGCAGCAGGCAGAGGAAAGAGAGAAAAAACAGTCTAAAGTGAAAGGAAGTGATATCATAACCAGCATCTAGAACAGCCAAGGTGAAGAAATTTCAGCAGATGCTTACCTTCCAATCGGGAGATATAACAAGAAAAATAATCAAAAAAGTAAAGGACGTGGGATGGATGGTGAGAAAGCAGCTGAGGCTTTTTTTAGATGCATAGTTTCTATGAGCAATCCAGAAGTGTGTATTCCTTCTTAGCAGTCACTTATCCACAGTAGGCTCCATTCTAGCAGCACTACATAGCGGGAACATTGTCTTGAAGGAGTGGCCAAGACTATCACTAACACAGAAAGATCCTGTGCGGTACAGTGCTGATAATAGCTATTTCTACATCAGCTACCCTCCACCTTTTGTACAGGGCTCTACAGCACGTTGCTTGTGGATAGCTGCTCACATTACTTTGGGAGCTGCAGCGAGGCTGAACAAGACAGAGAAGCTGAAGGTAGCTTAAAGCTGCCTGTCCCTTCTCTCCTCAGCTGTGCCAAATTTACATCCTTACACTTGGCACAGATGAGAACTAAGCTTGCCGTGATTAAATGCCTAGAAAGTGAGATAGATGGTCTTTCAGGAACAGAAGTAGGCCTGAAGACTTACGTTTTGTTCTCTAAATATTACTTTCTGTTTGGAGTACAAACATATTCCCAATTAAAACAAGTTTCCATTGACTCTAGGGAGAAATAGGATTTGATAATTTAGTGCAGGGACTGCTGATGAAAATGCTGATGTCATAAAGTCACTATAATCTGCTGCTTTTATAATTTTATGGTTAGATTTAAAACTCAACATTTTTAAACAGATATTTAAATCTAATTCTAAAACTTCAGAGCTATGTAAAACACATTTCAAAATTGTGTCTGACTCTAGCATGCTTCTATGGAATATGAGAGTAAAAAGACATGAAGCATAGAAGATCTTTGGACTTTTTTCTCATACAAGTAATTTTTTTAGATAACCAAAAATATATGGTAAAATTTAGCTGTATTGATGGTCTAATATTTCTAACACACAATGCATAATAATAGCTACAAATTACAAATGTGATCCTCTTGGCATCAAATTTTAAAATGGGGTACAGCTGCATTTAGTAGGTTTATATCAAGAGCTTCAATTCACTAACAAAGTGGCTAATTTGAGCTACTTTTGCTACCTACATAATGTGTCTCTCAGGTGTTACACTTCTCCAAACACAACTGCCTGTTCAAATACCAATGAATAGCACTTGGCAGAAGATACAATTAAGTTTAAATTGAAGTCTTACCTATCAGTATGAACTTACTTAAACCAGAAAGAAAATAGCATACAGACTACACTTCAAGTGACTGTCAGAGAAACAATTCACTGCTCTGCTCATTATGTTTTTTACAGACTCAGCTGAGGGAATTACTTACTGACCTCCATCCCAAAAGAATAAACTTAATAAAATATTTTGTTTCTGAGAAAGTGTCAGTACCTAAAGCATGTCAGGTTTCTTTTGTCAAGTTATAGAAACTCCACTGGCTGGCAAATAGTCATGCATTTCAAAAGCACTATAAAAAGCCACAGGCAAAAAATCAAAGAACATATCAGGCTCATAAACACAATGATTTATTTCCTACCTGCAGCAAACTGCTTGCTTTTGCGAGGTGAACGGGGTTGACGCTGGTATGGATCACTTGATCCATATAGGTCAAGGGTTCCCATGCTCAACAGTACTGTCTTCTGCATGAAATCCACAACAGCCAAACCATTGCAGTTTCCAAATGCCACTCTGAGAAAAGAAATGTTCCTCAAAGATATTAGTAATATGTAACTAAGTGGTGCAAACAATAATTATTGTGATGAATTCTGCACAAACATTTTCTTCAGGAAGCACTCAAAGCTTACATTTTATAATTCTTACAGATTTGTAATCCTGAATTCATAAAATTGTCCTGAAACACAGTAATTGATTTTCCAGAAAGCAGACTCCCCACTTTAATTCAGTTTCTGTGCCAAACACATTGCAATAATGTCTAAACGTTGCTTTACTGAACAATTCTAGTAATCATGATGTAAATTAAGCCTACAAATCTGGATGTAGATATTAAAAAGTGGTTATACATATATATAAAATATGGCTATAAATTAAAATATAAATACAAATACATTATCCTCATCTAAATATAAATGATAAATGAAATACACTAAGCTTTATTGTGGAGATACCCAAATATGAAAGGTTTTTATAAAATTTTGTTCCAACTCTGTCAGCATGGCTACAGTATAGCTTCCTGCTAAATCAGTCTCTACCCCTCTGAAATGCTTTTATAAATGGCATTTTGATGGTGTTTTGATTTATGGGCAAGTTCTCTCAACTGGTGTGAGATTGCCTAAGATCTGAACTGCAGCCTTGTTATAAGGAAAAAGAGATGGAACAATTTATTTCTTTTGCTGCCCAGAAAGTCCCTTTTGAAGCATTCTGCCCTGACTCTTCTCTATTGCTTCTACTGATTTCCTTCTGACACCAGATTTGGAAGTTCTATTGGACCAGCAGCACTTTCTCCTCCTCTCCCATAAAAATGTTTTCTGGCCTTTTCCCCAGCTTGGAAGGGGGGGGAGAAGACAATGCATCTATAGAAGGAAAAGGAAGAAAAAAAGGAAAAGAGAGAAAACAAAAAGATGCTAAACATGTCTATATGCAAGACCTGGGAGAAAGTCTGAAGTTAACCATAGCATATGGAAACCTATACATCTTAGCAGATAATATCTTTGCTTCATATTCTCACTAAAGCATTAAACCTATTTAAGATTTAATATTAAAACAGACATGCAATATTGACTCATTTCTTTCTGATTTAAATAATGGCAAATAAATTCACAGACCATATGAGTACTGAAAGGATCCATATGCCAAACTCTCGACACAGCATTGTTGGAGACTTGATTTAAGCAGGAATATTATATAGTGACAATTATTCTATGGAAGTCTCTCCTTTTCTATCAGACTGCAATTTTCACTTTCAGATAGAAAGGATTGCAGGTACAGCCACAAGGAAACTCAAAATCCCAAACCATGCTCAATCAGATTAGGAATCACTTGTGACCAAGTTCCGTCATTTTACGTAAAAAGTGATTAAGGTGGTCAGTTCAAAGCCCTGCAAAATATTTAAGTACTCAGTTCACACTAAAAGTGAGCTGTGCATTCACCCCTACCTGACTCTTCTTAACACAACTCCAAAATATCTTAAAGGACATATAGGAATTTGTGTGTGGAAAAACAATAAAGAGAGAGAGAAGTAACGAGATAAAGGAAGGGGAAGCAGGGTAGATAGAACATTTTCCTCTGTTGTACTTTTTCTTCCTCTGCTTCCACTATGAAAAAGAGGGTTCCATATAGCAAATAGAAAATGTAAAGGGTGAAAATGAGGTGAGTTTTTCTTATTTGTCAAACTGGCAAATTAAGGCACTATCTACAACAGTGGCTCAAATTCTACTGGTTGTTACCACACCATGTTTTCTACCCTTGACTTAACACTGGCTTTAGTACAGCATCTGTGGACATACTCTGAACATACTCTTTTTTTCCCCACTGAATTTTCACTGATCTGTAGCTGAAGCAGCTGCTAATATACATCAGCTTAAAGTGTGTATAAATACACTGTTATTTGGCAATATTTTGTGCTTATGTGGAAAGATTATAAGATGCACTGAGGAATAAACTCCATGTTTTATGAATGTAGAGTAATATCTGTTTCAGAAATTACTAAAGCCTGTTTTGATTAACAGAAGAACAAAATAATTTTTAGAGAGTTTCTCCGGGACTAAAAGGAACTCTCTCTCTCACATTTGCCAGAAGACCATTCTGTGCAAAGTTTTATGTGTCTTCATGTTTCTTGACACAAATCGACTGATAAACAATAGTAAAAAATTATGTTGCTATTCGTTTTTGGCATTCTTGTATTTTGCTTAAAGCATGCATTAATTGGCACTGTCAGAGAAAGGATACTGAAGTAAAAAAGATTACTAGTGTAAAGTGTGACAGCAATTCCTGTGTTCATAAATCCCTGTGTTCTAGGCGGAGAATAAAAATAAAGGAATAAAAATGAAAAGTCTCAATTTCATCTGTTAATACTTTAGGGAACAAAATTAATGCCATTTGAAAATGATTAACCTGAGATTTATTAATTTTGGAAAACATGAGTCTCAAGAAGAGCTCATGATCATTCACTCTGTGGTCAGCAAATCCACAAAATGGATCATCATGTCCTGAAATGCATTTTTCTAAACTTCTCTAAGTTCACACACATGGATATAGTGTTTCTTATACCTAAAAAATTACCAAGAAAAATCAGAAATTGCTCATTAATGTTATAACACTCCTGACGAATGATAAGAAAATCCAGACAGACATTATTATTAACAAGCCTTAAGATAAATTGCTAACATCCAAGCTTTTATGAAATCAAATACAAAGTAAGTATAATGAATTTCTCAGTTTTGAGTGATGAATAGAATTAGTTGCTAGGAGATGTTCTATTCTGTGAGTATCTTTCATAGAAATACCATAAAATCCTCATAAGGCATTTCTTGACAATTAATATGTAGATTGGCTGAAAATTTTTATCACATGAGCTGGCAATAAATTTTCAGACTGCTTTCAGTCCAACGGAACATACTTTAAAATAAATTTATTATTTGTATTTAACCTTGTAGATTTTCAGTTGTAATTGAAGCATTTTGTAAATTTTTCTTTTCTACTTTCACAACAAAAAGAAGTTTTTTGATTATTCATTTCAACAGAAATAAAACAGGTGTTAATACTTCCAATTTGTAGCTTGGTACTCTTAAAAGCAAACAAAATACAGTAAATAAAATTTCACAATGTCTGAAACCCTTTATCTTCACTGGGGATAAAGATTTTTTTAATATCTCGCTTTAGTCCCATTGCATGGTGCAGTAACATCAGGGACACTAAGTTCCTAATATTTGTAATATACAGTTACAGAAATCAAAGTAATTAAAAACACACGGGAAGTAGACACTTCAGAACACACTTACTATCTTATGCCTTTCTCCCAGTTAAACTGATTATCATAGGAAACAAAATGTAGGCAAAAGATGACCCAAATAACCCTACAACTAGCACGGCAAAAATGACACATCCTCAAGTGTCATGCTGAAGTGGCACAGGTTTTCCACATTGTAAGGCTAGATAACAGGAGAAAACTAAAGTATTAAACAAAAATTCTGATTAAAGATAGGATTGTTCCTTGTCCTAGGCCCAAGGAAAAACTTGAGAGACACAAGAGACAGGGAAAAAGAAGAGACTCTGCAGAAAATATTTAAAGAAATAGGCCTTTCTTGGGTAGCTTTTGTAGGAAAGTTACATTTAGGTTATTGGGCTATTTCATTGATAAACGCATTTATTTCTAAAACACTCATGTACTTAGTATATGGTGTTTTAAAGAAGGCTATCCTGTAAACTATTATTGCTCCTAGCAAAGGAAACAATTTAAAGCATTTGACTGAATCAGGTACATTTAGGAAACCACTGTGACTACTAGGAGAACTGCAACTTGTCAGAGTAGTTTACAAGTGAGACAATGGTGTGATTACTATGTCTAAGTGCTGTAGCAGGTCACTCACCATTTCCCCTTGGATTATGGGGGCTTCATTCTGCTCCCTGCCCCTGCCTACTAGCTCAGGGGGCTGGGTGCACAGGGAGCAACTGGTCCTACTACCAAAGACGGAGGCAAAGAAGCCTCAGCCTTTTCCTCATTCTTTGTCACTATGTTTCCATCACCGTCTAATAAAGGATGGAGATTATCCTTAGTCGTCCTCTTATTGCTAATGTATTTATAGAAACTTTTTTTATTGTCCTTAACATCAGAAGCCGGATTAAGTTCTAGCTGGACTTTGGCCCTTCTAATTTTCTTGTTCCATAGCCTCGCGACATCTTTGTAGTCCTCATGAGTGGCTTGCCCTTTCTTCCAAAGGCCATAAATTCTCCTTTCATTCCTGAGTTGCAACCACAGCTCTTTGCTCAGCCAGGCTGGTCTTTTTCCCTAATGGCTCATTTTTTGGTGCATGGGGAACGGCCTTCTCCTGCACCTTTAAGACTTCCTTCTTGAAAAATGCCTAGCCTTCCTGGACTCCTTTGCCCTTCAGGACTGCCTCCCAAGGGACTCTGTCAACTAGGATCCTGAAAAGTCTGCCCTCTGGAATTCCAAGGTGGCAGTTCTGCTGACGCCACTCCTTGCTTCTCCAAGAATCAAAAACAGCTACCTGAAAGGAGGTTGTAGTGAGGTGGGGGTCAGTCTCTTCTCCCAAGTAACAAGTGATAGGACAAGAGGAAATGGCCCCAAGTTGCACAAGGGCAGGTTTAGATTGGATATTAGGAAACATTTCTTCACAGAAAGGGTTATCAAACCCTTGGGACAGGCTGCCCAGGGAAGTGGTGGAATCCCCATCCCTGGAGGTATTTAAAAGTTGGGTAGACATGGTGCTGAGGGACATGGTTTAGTGGTGGACAGTGTTAGGTTGATGGCTGGACTTTATCTTAAAGGTCCCTTCCAACCTAGACAATTCTATGATTCTGTGATTATTCCTGGAGTCAGATGCCGCCTTGAGGCCTGAGACCTGCAAGGGAGCAAACTAGGCAAAACCCAACAACTTGCACAGGTGACAAATGCATAGGTATGGTAAAACAAATGAAAGTTCTAGAGTTCATGAATAGGAAACTGTCTGGAAATTCAGGCCATAGACTTGACAAAATAGCCCCCAAAACAACAATATTTTTGCACAAATGTAAAGGCTCTGTGTAAAATCTCCAAAGTCTCTGAAAAGAGTCAAGTGACTTACTGAAAATCAGTACCAGTCAGACACCTAACAGCCATTACAGCCTACAGTTCTTATTGGAGTAACACCTTCTACAGAGAAAAACATTTTACTTTATCTGGGCAACTCTCAGTGAGAGAAAACATTAAAAATTGGCAAATAAATTGAACCCAAGGAAAAAAATCCAGATACGCTTACTTGCATTTCCATACAGAATTCAGCATTTGAATGTTCCTTATTCAGTTTTCAGTTTGAGGTCACTGGTTGTCTTGCAAACAGATTAGCACAGACATAGAAATGCTGTTCTCAGAACACAATTTCCAACTAAGATATGATGTCATGATAAATTATATTGAACACTTAATCACATCACCATTTTCTACAAAATGTATTTCACCTTTGTGATCCTTTCAAAACAACTTTAAAAATTACAGATTTGAAAGGTAATGAGATTTTATTTGAAAGAATAGACAAATAATGTGAAAAGATTCAGTCTTTTAAATGGGAATAGTAAAAATACTGACAAGAAAGGCCGTTTAACATCTCATATTACAATCTTTATGTGAGTTCAAACAATTTTTCCCCAACAATCTGGGTTATAGCACCTTTTGATTATTTTTAGTCTGACTTTAATTGTCTGCGGGAAACTTCAAACTATAATTAGAAAATACATGATTTACTGCAATAGAAAATAAACCAATGCAACCTTAATTTTGAGTTACTTACAGTCCATAAGCAGAGTTTACAGCAAGACTGGTAATCTGTTGTGGAGGCTCACCATCCACCCACACCAACTGAATAACAAGATCTGCTTGGTATCCAGGAGGCATTCGCACAGGTCGAGTCTTAACGCTAAGAAGAAGAGGTATAAAATAAGAACAAAAAAACAAACAAGCAGACTAGGCCATGAATAACAACTGCTTCTCTTGAGAAAATACTAGTGAAGCACAAGCCCTTAAAAAGTCCAGGGCAGTACTAACGCTTGTGGAGTACTGTGCATATACCCGTACATTGAGACTAGGCATTCCAATAAGAACAGGCAACAGGGATATTTTGGAGGAATTCAAGGTTTTGACTTTCATTTCTGTTGCAGAAACAAATCTGAAAACTTCAACGTTCCCTACAAGAGAAACTCTAGAGAAGATGTAGGTGGGGGTCAATAAAAATATTTTTTGCTTAATCATTTTGCTTTGATTTTCCTTTTTCAGAATATTTTCTTATGCTATATAATACACACTTAAAAAATCATCATGAATAGTCAACTCTAATGGAAAACCTAAAATACTTTCTTCTGAAACTTTGAAACGGTAAATTTCTGCATTTTTGGAACTTTCTTGCTCTGAAGTAAAGCATGACAGAAAAATGCAAAGAGGCAAGAGAAGATGAGAAGATATACCTTTCTGTAGTGGTCTTCACCATTGCATATTCAAAACTTATGGACTTGACAATTATATTTGTTCATCTAGTGCAAACAAGTCCTGTTTTTTTCTTAGCAGTATAATCACCTAATATGTGATCTGGTCTTAATGAATGAATGTTTCCTACATAAATTCTGATATAATTCCTAACACGTCTTCATATTCTGTTATGGCAAGTTCAGTGACTTGCAAAGCAGGTAGTGAAGGTATACATATTAAGGGGGAGTGTAAGAACCGAACACTTCTGTATGACTGCTTTATGTGTGTTCTTGACTGGTAGAACTCAACGTGATGATACACTGAGAGAAGATATTACGCAGTAATAGCAATACTTTGAGGTATTCATGTTATTCATTAGCACAGTCACACTGTAGGTAGTAATTTATACATAAAGCCCAATAGCCAGTGCATTTTTACTGTAGCTGTAAATGATGAGACTGCTTTTGGCACATAGTATTTATTTCTGCTGTAAGTGCTTCGCTATACATATATCTCTACCATAAGTAACTTAAGCAGTATTATCCTCCGTACTGGATCTTCGAGAAGAGATCTTTGATGAATCTGATGATGCAGACTATCTCCTGAACGTGACTATGATGTAACTCAGCAAGCTTTCCAAGCAGCCCTGGCCCATACATGATGGATCAGATTGGAAAAAAATCCAACGAATTTCTACTCAGAAGCAAGTAAGTGAGTACTTCTTTCAAGAGAGGATATTCAAACTTCTCATTCAATAACCAGGGCTATCAGGATTTTTGTAGCTACACTGATGTCATCTGTTGGGATTGGAGGCCTTTGTGGCAATAGGACTACCAGGAATCTTGGAAAATTTAAGACAGATGCAGAAAACTGAAGTAAAACAACCATAGAATAACACCAGGGCAAAAGTTCTGAACAAGATAACTCCAGCAGCACAATGGACAATGTACAAAACAAATAGTGCTCTAATTCTGACAGAAGTTAAGAAGAACAGAGGACTGTGCAATACTTCTCACACTTTTATGGTCTGATATAGAGCATGAGAAAAGACTGGATATGGATGTATGTTATGACACAAAGATAAAATCTCCAGCTCAGTGTTAACAGTAGAAGCACTTGAAGATACTTTTTGGAAAAGATCTTAAAGCATAAGGACTATTTTCTTAATAAGACCTTAATATCTGTAGTGGATTAACCTCAGTCGGCTGCCAGGTGCCCACCAAGCTGCTCTGTCACCCCCCCTCTTCAACAGGACAAGGGAAGAAAATGAGATGAAAAAGCTCATGGGTTGAGATAGGACAGGGAGATCGCTTACCAATTACCACCACAGGCAAAACAGACTCAAGTTGGGAAAAATTAATTTAATTTATTGCCAATTAAAAATAGAGTAGGAGAGTGAAAAATTCTTTGAAAAGACAAAACTAAAAATACTATCTCCCCACCCCTACCTTCTTTCCAGGCTCAGTCTCACTCCTGACGCCTCTACCTCCTCCCCCACCCCAAGCAGCTCACAGGGGATGGGGAATGGTGGTTGCAGTCACTTCGTAATACTCTGTGCCTGCCAGTCCTTCCTCACGCTTTTCCCCTGCTCCAGTGTGGGGTCCCTCCGAAGGGGTGCAGTCCCTCAGGAACAGACTGTTCCAGCATGGGTCCCTCACAGGCCACAGTTTCTGCCAGAAAACCTGCTCCCGCGTGAGCTCCTCTCAATGGGTTGCAGCTCCTGCCAGAAGCCTTCTCTGATGTGGGCTCTCCACAGGCTGCAGCTGGACAATCTGCATCACCATGGTCTCCACAGGCTGCAGGGGAATCTCTGCTCTGGCACCTGGAGCACTTCTTCCACCTCCTCCTTCTCTCACCTTTGTGTCTGCAGACTGTTTCTCACATGTTTTTCTCGCTCCTCTGTCTCACAGCTTCTGTGCAGCATTTTTTGCCCTTTCTTAAATTTGTTTCGCCAGAGGCTCCACCCTCTTGGCTAAGGGGCTCAGCCGTGCCCTGTGGTGGGTTGGTTGGAGTTGGCTGGAGCCGGCTATGTCCAGCACAGGGAAGCCCTGATCTCTCCTCACAGAGACAGCCTTGCAGCGCCCCCTGACAGTGCCTGGGCACCTGCACCTGATACAATATCTTTGATAACTGCCTTTCCAAAATACATCCACACCCTGTCTTGAATTGTTCAACTATTTCAGTAACACAGTTTATGTTGTACTGCTTCTATTTTTATTGTAGAGGGTTCACTAACCATGCCAAACCTTCCCCCTATTTACTATTTAATGAGAAAGGCACTCCTCATCGATCTTTCTAAATGCAGCATCTTGGCACACTATTCTATTTCTTTTGCCTGTCATACTGTTCAGACCTTACACATCCATTATCTGGAGCAGTAATCAGCCACTTGGCTCAGATCTTGTCATTGGAGAGACATGACAGCCCAGTTCAGCAAGCGGGATGCTTTTTCCCGTCCTCCTTTTCCTCTGTCCTGACTGTCCAGGACCAGCTTGTGAGAACAGACCACCAGGCCACCAGTCTGGACTACCTTCCCCCCCTTGGGGTTGCTGCAGTTGCAAGAGCAAAAGGAAAGCACTCAACAGCCACAGTCTTGACCCAACCTGGAAAGGAATCTCATCGTGACAAAGTGTACATTGTGGAGATGAACAGCACTTGATCTGCCTGGCTAGGCACAAGAAAGTAACTACTTTAATTTTCTTGTGTAAGGACCCTTGATACCCATGGATGGTGACAGACTGCAACAGATACAGCAACGTACTACATCTCTAGCATGCCAAAAAATTATGGGAGCCAAAAAGCAGCGCTTGCAGCAGTGAGATAAGACTTTCTGAAGTGTGGGTTGACCAAGCCAGAGTAAGCACATGGTGTAGCAGGGTTGCACAAGACACCTTGTTGGAAGATTAAGCCTGGAGAGAGGAAGCAGCAGAAACATGACCTGGTGCAAGTGAAGCACCAGCTGGTGTAGCTGATGAAAGAGCTAAATGGTTTATTGTTAGATGTGTGATGCATTTCACAACCATCTGCAACTTTCTTAGGTCCTGCAGTCTCCTCAAACTCCGTAGCCCTATCAGAATATACCTATTATACCTGCAGATATGGGATCGTATATCTGGGCATTGCATATCCGGATATCACAGCAGAATATATGCAGCATTTCAGGATAAGGAATGAGACCTTCACTTGGATCTCAAAGACATAAACATCTCCTCTCCCCTTCACAATGTTGACCTACTCGTACCTTTTCCCCTCTCTGGCTGCAGAAGCACCTAGGTTGTCTGGCAAGGTGGGGGGGTGGGGGGCTGTAGGGGTGGCCTCTGTAAGGAGAGGACAAGGGCTGCCCCATGCTGGCCACAGCCTCATTCTAGCTAGTTCCAGCTGGCTCTGCCACAGACCCAGAGCAGGACACAGCTGAGACCCTCAGCCAAGCTGATGGCACCTCTGGGAAAACAAATTTAAGAAAGGGCAGAAAATACTGCCTGGGAGCAAGAAGTGAAGAAAAAAACATGTGAGAAACAGTCCTGCAAGTACCAGGTACGGGAGCAGAGATTCCCATGCAGCCCAAGGAGAGGAACATGGTGGAGCAGATATCCCCACTGCAGCCCTTGGAGGACCCTATTGTGGAGCAAGTGGATTATTTCCTAAAAGAACTGTGGCTTGCAGAGAGCCCACACTAGAGCAGGTTTATCCTGAAGGACTGTACATCATGGGAGGGACTCCACACCAAAGCAGGGAAAAGCGTGAGGAGGAAGGAGTGGCAGGGAGGAGCTGTTGTGGACTGACCACAACCACCATACCCCACGCCCCTGTGCTGCTCAGGGTGGATGAGGTCAAGGAGCTGGAAATGAAAGAGTGAAGTTGGGAAAAGGAGGGGATGGAGAACATCTATTTTTGGTTTTGTTTCCATTTTTGATTTTTGTTTCTCACCATCCAACTCTATTTTAATTGGCAATAAATTAAATTACTTTTCCCCAAGTTGAGCCTGTTTTGCCTATGACAGTAATTGGTAAGTGATCTCCCTGTCTTTATCTCAACCCATGAGCTTTTCCACCTTATTTTCTTCCCCTTGCCGTGTTGAGGAGGAGTGACAGAGTGGCTGGCAGCCAGCCAAGGTCAACCCACCACAGTTGGCAATAGCTTTGTATTGTATTAATGGCAAACCTCTGCTCAAAGTTTTGTACTTTCTTACCTGTTCTGCTGGCACTAAAGCTTTGCCCTTTCCTTTGTTCATAAGATCCATGAGCATTTCTGAAGTGATAGTATCCATAAGCTTAATGGAGCCCTGTATTATGCAGGAGTATTTGTGGTAAGAACAAAGGAATGAACATCTGTGAACTCAGGCAGCTAAGGGAGAGAGGTCTTTTGAAACCGGGGAAAACTGAAACTACAAACAAGAGTTGTATACAATGAAGATGTATTTTGTTTTTCAAACAAACTTCACACCAAGCAGAAGATGAATATTTTATACAAATAGTCCTCCAGAGTATCCTTGTGATGGGGCCCTTCCACGTCTTATGTCTGTGGATAAGCCTTTAAGAACACTAGTGGCAGTGTTTCCATCTTGCACCCCACTTTCAGTTTTCAGCTCCTGCCCTTAAAAATGTTATAAAAAACATAAAATAGGTAAATGAGTTTCAGGAAGCAAGACTTAAGTCTAGTGCTCTTTCAGCTGAGCAGGCATGCTTTCCATCCATATTTTCTAATGGATAACTGATGATGTGGGGGAACACAAGAGTCAAGCACGCTGCTATGGTAAATTCCAACAAACATCTGTCAAGGCAATGCATTTAGCCTTTTCTTCTAAACGAACTACCATGAGACTGAAAATGGCTCCAGAATTAATTCTTATCTTCTAAAAGATGTTTTTCTTATGATATTACTTTTCCAATATGTTTTTAACAACATGCTGAAGAAATTAGAGAACTTGAGGTGCCTTCTAAGTTTTCTTTCAAGTTGTTGTTACCTGAGCAAGAAAAGCAAACACCTTTGTCTCTCTATTTTTCACTTGAAGATCATTTGAAGATCTTCTTTGGTAAGATGGATGTTATTTCACAGGGATTTTCTCTAAGCATAGAATAGGATGTAGTTGGTGAAAGTCCATAAGACTGGAATAAAACAGTTTCAGATTTCATGATTCAGTTTGTCGTTCCCACGTTCCTATGACACCTTCCTCTTTAAGGATGTCTGAGCTGTTTCCCTGGTTTCACTAAACATCTTGCTTGAACAGTAATGTTGATCTTTAGTTCTTCCTCACCTTGTTGTGGATTGGGTTTTTTTAAGTGTTTATACTATAAGCCTAAACAGACTGCAGGAGTATGCACAGAAGGAATGTAGATATTTCAGTGGTTTCCCTGACATGTTTTTGTTATGCTACACTGAATTTGGTTGCGGCAAATTTTTTGTTTTTAGTTTTCTTTATGAGATAATCACAGTTTTTTATCATTTTGGAGCTACTTGGAGCTACAAGACCCTCGATTGACCTAATTTTGGGATGATACTAAAAGTCTGAGAATGAAGACTTTCAGTCTGCGTATAGCTTTTGGATGACAGTATTTACATCAAAAATATTTATCTGCACAATCACAAATACACGAGTGTCTTATGTTATTATAGCTGCATGTTTCATTATAAACTCTTCTGAAATAAGCAAGAACAATCTTTATTCCACACTGCTGCTTGCCTATCTTGGTAAAAATTACTTTTGATTTCAGAAAAATTACAAGTTTTTATTACTGAGCCTCTTCAATCACTTTCTTTCTAGTACCTATTCGCAGACACAAACGCATTCAGTCATTCTGACTTCTGATCAGCAAAAAATATGTAGTGTGGAATGCCACCCGTTTGCCCTAATGAGGCTGAGAAGCAGATATCAAAATAAACACAATGGAACCAAGATTAAAAGCTAGTCTGTATATAAAATTTTATGTGGATTATCAATATTGTTGAAGTTGTGCACTCATGCTCTGTGCGTAGGTGGCTGCAACTTTACATTATTATCACTGTATCCTAGATTCTGTACCGCTGCCCACCTGAATGACTCGCATGTAAAGTCAACAGCCTCATCTAGGTCTCTACTGGGTTTTCTGTGTTGCCAGCACTACTTTGATTTTATCATCATCATTCTGCTTAGAACAGAAGTTTTTTGACAGACAAGGAATGTGGACCTGGTTAGGTTTTGGGGGAAAATGGTGGATATTTATATGCCTTTTCTTATTGAAAAACGTAAGAGTGTACACAGTATACTTTTATGTAAGAGCGAGTATGCCAGCAGTTCTAGTGGTATAATTACTTTGAATTTGAAAAATCATTTCTCTGTCAAAATAAGTTTACGTTTACTTTGTGTAAAATGGGACAAAAATCTGTTGGCCAGCTTAGTGTGACATTATATGGAATTAAGCAAACTTCTAAAAACTAACAAACAGAACCTCTACTGGTTCATTACAGCTTTTCTGCCTTTGAGATCAACAATTCCTCTGCTACCTAGACCAAATTGAATAAGAATCCCTTAAGGGAAAATCCTAGCCACTGAAATAATCGATTGCATTCTTGCTTATTTCAATTTCATAAATAGATTTCACATTGGGATTTTTTTAATAACTTCTCTCTGTCTCTTGTATTGATTTTCATGGTTTACGTTAATGATTAAATGGAGATCTGAGGTTCAACTGCCTGGCTGAATGAAGTGGACAAATGAACAGGATGCCAAAAAATACTGTTAATTTTACAAGAACAATGTTATGATATTGCTTTTAAATGCTAACACTATTTTCAGGAGCTCAATAGCCCAAAGTATCTGCAAAGTCAGGCAATGTTCATTTAAACTGCTTTCAAAATAATTGAGGCATTTAAAATTTTTAATAATAATTACACTGAAATAATAATGAATTCACTAAAATGAGAGCAATTGTTATCAGCAGTGCACCATAATTGCTGGAAAATTACAGTTTATGGAAGTTTTGTATGGAATTTTGTTATGAAACTATTCAAACCCATAATTTATCTGCCTTATTAGGAAGAACATATTCATCTACTCCAGACAGCGGCAATGTGTACTCTAGCAGACAACAATTTGCTTCTTTCTAAAGATTAAAGATATATACACTTCCACACAGTGCAACTGTTTCATAATTGTACATTTTAAAGACTGTTTCGTGAGTATGAACACAATTTCCATCCCTTACACACCATAAAATGCATATACTTCTTCCACAAATAAAGATTTTAGTGTTATACTAACTACTCAAGGAGGGAAAGCTTTGCACATGTCTGCTTTATGGACGTCTTTGTGAACTAAAAAAAAAAAAAAGAAAAATTTCTCTGAAATTCCTTGATTTCTTCTGTAGTGCCTGTATTCCATTCAAAATTGTGGGTATGAGATGAAGATTTACTCCTAGATCATACTGGAAAATTACAGTCAAACCTTTACTGTAATAGTTTATCTTCTCCGTAATTACTTCTAGCCTTTTAAAATACCTTGTTAATTATTTTGCCTTAATTCTTTTGTTTGTTCCATATTCTGGTTTCTTCTCATTTTGTGTTGCATACATACGATTAACCTCTTTTTCTTGACAGTCAACAGATTGTTAATACAACAGATAGGAATGCTTTATAGAAAGACAAATCTTTGAACAATGGCATAGACTTACCTAAGACATGGGATACTATCCTTCATCGTTCCTTCACATGCTACAGTGTTGGTACTGCCTGAAAGGCTCTTTAAAGAAGGAAGCTGGGAGGAGGCATCTGGAAATGGAGGAATTATTTCCGGTTCAGGAGTAATGATATCTTCTACTTCATACTGAAGTCGTACCTCTAATGACTTAAATAAATAAAAAGCTAAGTTATAATTTCATAAAGAAAGATGCCAAAAGTTCTGTTACATTCAAATAAGTATCAGTAAGCCTTTTTTAAAAAATAACCCCCTACTTTATCATTATCATCTGTGGGCAAAGAATACTATTGTTTGTTATTTATACAGCCTAACAGCAACATCAGATAGGAACTAGTCATCGACCCTATGCTGATGGAGGAATACATAGGTATAGTCTTCCAGTGCTGACTTTGATTCAAGCCTTTTATTGTAAGTGAAAGGCAAGAATACAACTTTCCAGAATTTCTTAGGAAAGGAGAAGTTAATCACTCACCTCAAATAAATAATATTTCAGCATAAGAAGACGTCATTCAGGGTAAATGTCATGAAAATTTTCTGCCAATTTTCTGTTAACTCTGCCTCCTTATTGCTAGTACAAGAGTCTGTACAAGGCAGGTTTTAGCCAGCATGCAGAAGCCTGCTAGTGTGGGTAGTACTGATTAACGAACTTCATTTGTCCACAAGTGGGGGTCAGGAAATCAGAGATAACAGCACAGAGAGTTCTGTATTCCTTAGACTGAACATGAGTTTGGCGGATTCTAGAACACAAAAGTTCAAACCAGTTACCTTTTGCTTTCCTTCTGGTATCTCCAGATAGGGAAAGGGAGACCAACCAGGCCCATTCACCCTTCAGTTCTTTCCACTAATACAGGAAAGCTTAACTCAAGGACTCCAAAACACAGGGGAAATTGGACAGGGAGCTCAAATCTTTGAGTAATCATCTCAAAGAATTGCAGTGAATCTTGGCCAATTCCTTCTACCTCGTGAATTGTCCAAGGAAATCCCCAATTTGAAAAGAATAAAAAACAAGGTACAGCCCTCAAAGAGATAAGGTCTTGGGATCACTAACTGAATAGTAATTTCAGTGGTGGTACCTTGACGTGATTAGAAGCAATTGCAGATGTAGACACTGCAAACTCCAGCTTAGTTAGTGATCTCTCACTGAGACATCACTGTACCACAATGGAAATTAAGAAAATACCTAAGTTTTACGAGAATTGGGAGATAAAGCTCAGTACTGAAGGCTCTCCTATTTCTCAACCATTGTGTTAAAACACGTAAGACTTCAGAAAGAAGTGATTCTACTCAAGTAGAAGGGAAAGCGTCCTTTCTCAAAATTTCACTTCTGTTTTGTCCTTGCAAAATCCATGGATATTTTTTTGCCTGAATCAGCTAAAGAAACCTATGGAGAACATTTGCCTTCAAAGATTAATGAGTGAAATGTTGAGTTCAGGAAAATCCTGGAAGTAGTTGCTGCTAACCAAAACAACTTATAATGCTGTTTAATCTTCATGTATGACTGAAGTAATGTTGAAGAGTATGTTCTTTTGCTTGACATGTCACAAGTGAATCATTTTTCTCTGAATGTTTTTTTTTGTGTCTTCCTTTTTCTACCAAAATTCTTTTTGTTATGTTCTAGCTATTGTCCATTTGCAGAGAGAAGGAAAAGTTTAGGCTAATAACATGACTGCTAATTTTTTTTCTATGATTTAGTCCTTCTGTTGACTGGACTTTTGAAGGGGTAGACACCTGCTGTACCAATTTATTTTGACACATGGTGAAGATCTTTTGGAGGATTCCATCAGTAGGCTCACTGATTCTCCTTTCAACATTCAAACTGGTGTAAACTTTTTTTCTTATGGTTCGTCTCAAGAGCTTTGAAGAGGAGCTTCACTGAGGAAAGACTGATCAGTGAGAAAGTGATCACATTTAAGAGGTACCTAGATAGCCTTTTGAGACAGGATGGAGTAGATTCAGATGAGAAAACAACAATAACAACAGCAAATGCTTTTTACATAACTGCGTGGCAATGACTCCAAGGTTGGATATAAAACAGAATTTGTCTCATGCATACTGCTTGCCTCCAGAATCTGATATGGAATGATGCAAATAATACTTTTATTGAGGAAATCCCAGGCACAGCCTACGCTTCTAAGGCATATTCAGCAGCAGAATTCCCTGCTACATGGAGAAACCTTTGACTAGGCCTCCATGCTTCCCATTTACCACAGCAATAAGATTACAAGACTGATGTCAGGCAGCCAAACCAACATGGGGTCCTTAAAATGTTGGGATTCGTCGATTGAACTCAAGGTGAGTTCAGGCTGGCTGCTACAGAAGGGAGGACCCTAAGTGCTAGAACTTGGGCTCACCTCAGGTACCAAAGAAATCCTGAGACTGACCAGCTCAGTCTCAGTATAGACAAAGCCAGGCAGCCTGAAGTCAGGTACACATTCCAACAAAGACTCCCATACTTTTTAATAAAAAACTTCCCACCATTTAAGAGCGAAGATTTGAATGCCTGCAGCAAAAATGTGGAAACAAAGAGATGAGGCCCATCTCAGAGATGCACAAAACCCAGGGGAACAAAATGACTACACCACCAAGATTAGATAATATTAAAGCAACTCTTCAGAGAACAATTCCTCATATAAATGCTTCCTAATTACAGATGAAATCTGAGAAACTGTTAAATTGCACATATTATAACACTTTAGAAAATACCAGTTCTGATGCAATTCATCCACAAAAGTAAAAGGTAGGAAAATAAAGAAATTAAATGATAGGTAATAAAAGATAAGGTGCATTTGCTATGGAACAATGTAAGAATACTGATATGTAGTAATTTTAACAGCATTATACACGAGCTGGTCAGTAACATGAAATTACTGGTCATTAGTTTGAAAAATTTCCTGAAAGGATACGTTCAGCTGGCTTAATAATTGCCTCTGTGGGGAAAAAAAATGAGAGGAAAACAATAGAACAATGATAGGTAATGAATTTCCTATGAATTTCCTTACCAGATGGCACATGGGCTACGGGCCAAAAATGACACGTTTTTGCCAGGCTAGTACTATAGACTTTCTAAAGTACATTAAAATAGCATGAAAAGGAAAAGAACTGTAACTGGGGAAAGTGGAAAATGAAAGGGAAATTTGGGGTCAGCCCTGGGATTTGTTGAGAGCTGGCAGATCCAAAGAAATACTTTCTGGCAAGAGAGTGTCTGGAGTTGCAAACTGTTCTGCAGCACCAGACGATGGCAAGCCTGAAGGAGAGGAAGTCATGTTTAGTTTGGCTTTGCCTTAAGAGTAGTCTCCTGTTAAGCTTCTTAGAATTAAGAAAGAATGTTTTACATTATAAATGCCGTTCAACCACACGGTTAGCAGTGGTTGTGGCTCCTGTGCAAAAATGCAAGGTTTACACTAAAGTCAGACTTGGTGTACAACAATGGTAAGTAAAAGGTGATTGCAGTGCAGTTAAAAGAACACGAACTGCATACTTGAAATATGTGACTGCTTAAGATATGAAGACATAAAAAGGAGTATTTGAACAGAGTAAAGCAACAGAAAGCTTGGGAAAATATCAAGTGCTTAGCCACAAATAATCTGGCATTTCATATCATGCCTATTTTTAGGGAAACAAAGTCAGCATAAGCCAGAAAAAAAACATCAACTCTCTTTATTTTGTTAAAGCCAGTGATAATTTTCAGTCCCCTTGTGGTGCAAAAACTATGAACGTAAACTAAAACGATGAAATACTTGGGTTAAAAAGAGCATTATTATGTATGTACACAATGTACATTATCTGATAAAAACATAGAGCAGCCAGTATTTCTAGAGTAGGGAAGTACAACAGAGAGTTACTGTATAAAAAGTCTTAAAAGCAAACTATGTCTGAAATCTATACTGTATCTTACTATTAAAGCAAAAAAGTGGAGAGTTGGCTCCTAAAAACTCAGTTAGACTTTTGTCACTAACTTAAGTAGGACCAAGATTTCACTCAAAAGGTATAACATGAAATGTCCCTAAACCTGTATTTATATAGCTTGATATTAATTTTATTCGAGTATATGAGCACAGACACAGCAAGGCAATTTGATTTAGAAATTATGTTCTTTCATAAGAGAGTAAATTTCTGAAGGACTTACTGCAATTTCAGTATTTATTTCATGTTTGCTGAACCTGTAAACAACCACATATGCAGAAACTCCTGCCACACAGAAAATTCGGCTTTCAGGACACCAGTACATCATCTGAACAGCAAAAGGATCTTCTTCCACAATCTCAGCTGTAGCTTTTCCTTCTCCTACTTTCTGTTTTTCGAAGACCTTCGATGTTTTTAATTTGTACAACATCTGTAGAGTAACTGGAATATATTAAAACATAAAAAATACTGACTAACATGAAGCAAATCAGTTATAGTATTCCTTGGTTCCCATTTCCTTCTGAGTTGTGGCATTACAAAGAATCTTATGAAGTCCTAAGAGGAGTAGAAGATGGGTATTATACAATAACAGATATTATTCTGGTACACGGTACTGGTAGGATATGTATTTAATACTTCCAAAATGGGTATTTGTCTGTGAAATACTTCTTAGTACCTTCTGGGACAGGATGTCAAAGGTGTATGTTAACCATTATGTCCATAATTAGGTTTATATTCAATGTTATAGAGAGGCTTTGATAATGCTGCTCTTTTCCTAATGAGATGAGAAACTAGGATTTCATTTGTCTGAGATTATTGTCTTGCTAGAATGTAAAGACTGTATGGCACTTCAAGAGAAAACATTAGGAAAGTATTTTGGTGGCCTGGGCAACACAAAGACTTTCTGAATGAAAAGGAGTTCTGAAATGTTTTTCATTTCTTGACTAATAAGTATATCTGTATTTACACCTGTATATAAAACCCTATATCCAGAAGCCTTTGTCAAGACTAGAACTCCACTGCAGCGAATTCTGGAGGTCACTGAGGGATTATAATTAACCCCATTTTGTTTTATTGACATTCCTGCCTGTTTTTACTACTTTTAAATTAATTTATCAGTGGCATTAATTAATAACTGCATAAGGTCAGAAAAAGTCAATCAGGTCCAGCACCTATAAAGGTGTTTATATACATAAAGGCAAAGCTGTTACATATGTTAGTGTAATGATGGTAGATCAGCCTAGCTAGCTTGTGTAACAAGCGCAACAAAAAGATGAAAGAATGGTGTTTTAATTATGTAACTGGATGACGAACACAGCAAAATTACATTTTCATTTTGCAGTGCAGATATATTCCAGGAGTTTTAGCATATAATTTTTTTTATATTTTTTAAAATTTTAGCATATAAAACACTACCAAATTTTCACACATTACAGCAAGTGCTTCTGCAATGAATACATAATTCTTCCTGCCTTCTGTGGTGGTGGATGAGGATGCCCTTAGTCCCAGTGACAAATCTAGAGCGGCTCTTCAAATCAGACATCAGGGGTCCGTGCTTACTAGGACTGGGAGAATTTCACTCATAGGGCAAAAGTACAAGGCAAGACTCTATGTTTCTGTGAATTACTAGGTACCATCTGCAGCAATGGCTTTTGAGAAAATATACATTTGGAAAAATGCTTCAGTGGCTCAGCAATTCTCTGTCTCCCACAAATCTGTGCGTTCAGGTACAAAATTACACAATTAAAATATGTCTAAAAGCAAAGTATTTTGTGCCTTCAAACACCAGTAGGATATTATGTTTGCTATGAAATCTCAAATGAAATTTGAATGCTATTAAAAACGTTAAGACCTCGTAAATAATAAACCTTTGTAATAATTAAAACCCTGTAAATGAAAAGTACCAAGTATGGTACCAGTAATGCAATACATACCCTGAAAAGCAGGACTAAATCCAGGACATCAGAAATGCACTGAAAGTACCATTAATATTGAAGGAATTGAGAATATTCATAATCAGCTAAGCTCTTATCTTTAAGAAAAATTCCTATAGCAACATGTACACACTGATGAAAGGGTTATGTTTATATTCCCTATGAGAATTTTTTTCCTTTCCTCATTCCTGCCAGAATTATAGAAGCAATGACTAGCACAGTGGTTCCTGTGCAGTGTATACACTAAATGCTTTGGGGTCTTGCAGCAGTCCGTGTTGTTTCACCCTAACTTTAATGGCTATATTTGCACATTCCTATCAAGAGTGTAAGTATGTAATCAAATATGCACAAGACAACGTCTAATGCCTCACAGTACTTCTCTAAATAAAAGCCATTATCCTATTTTTGTTCACATTAAAGCTGTCTCAAACCTTGGAGATAAACTCCTGCTGACATCACTTGATTTTTTTTTCTTTTTGGTGTTCACCATAACTTGAAAATACTGGCAAATGTAAACACTAAGCAGCACGTATCTGTTTTTCCCCAATTTCCAAACAGACAAATTATATAATTAAAAAAACAACTCATAGTCACATTCAGTTGAAATGCCTATGTAAAATTACTTTGGAAATCCTCATTTTCTCCTTGTCCATCCTGATGAGTGAACATATTTGGTATTAGGCAAAAGGAGAACTACCTGATAAAGTCATTATGTTAGCTGACGTTAAAATCTGGTAAACATTCCCCATATTTGGCTGGAAATGGTAGCCCTACTAATCATGACAATTCCGTGGCACAACATGGAACTAGCATGTAGTTTAAGTATTACATACTCTGTGTTCTGGGTGACCATTACAGCCTGGTTACTAGGGTCAAATTAAATCTCTCTATGCCTAACATTTCATGCAGAAGTTTCTTTCACCCTCTTTTCTTTAAGAGACCTCATAAAGGAGATATTCTACCCAGACATCTCTGTACCACAAAAGAGACATAATACAAGGCAAATCTACTGCAAATTTTGTGAAGCACAGTCACATTATTTTCACTGCAATATTTTAGTTTTCAACCAAAATGTAGGTATATTTTTAATAAATATATTTTACTAGTAAGTATCATATGTACTTTCTGTAGGGGAAAATGTTGGGTTTTGATATGTGTAGTTATAGCTAGAATGTATGGAACAAGTATTTTCTGAAGCTTTTTCCTACTAGGATGAATGGAAATGCTTCCCAATTATTTCCTGGAACTTGAGACTGGGCAAGAAAATATTTAGGTCATCTCCACCCTTGCCAGATTAGACATGTATTTAGATGTGTTCTTGTATTTTAATATTTTATTTTTACCTAGCTGTAAAAAAGACTATATTGTACTCAGAATAGAAAAGACATGACAGCTGGAACTGAATATTAGATCTAATTGAGCCCACTCTCTTATACACACAAGAAGATTATTCCCTAGGGATTTTCTACTGCCACTTCATCCTTCATAGATTTTGGTATGTTGGATCTGGAGCTTTTACTCCTCTTAAAGACTTTCACTCTTTTCTGTCTAATACATCTCATTAGCAGTGTTTTTTTCCCCTAATTTAAGAAAAAATGGCTTAATTTCACCTCATTATTCCTAATTATATCATACCCAATACTACTACTCATACCGTTAAATATCATGTTTTATATATATATGTGCGTGTGTGATTTGTCAGCATTATATAAAAGTGAACTTTAGAAACTTACTGGCAGAAGCATCCCAAAACTTTACTGATCCATCTGCATGGCTTAAAAAAAATATAAAAATTAAATGTGTTAAAACAAGATGCAATTCTAAAACATCTTCTACTTTCAGTGAGTGATAAATACAAGCAGAAAAACTGTAGTTTGCTCATGTAGTAACTCTCTATACCTTGCTGACAATATATAATGATATATACTAACTATAAGAAAATATTTTGTTATTAGTTTGTTTAGGTTAAAAAAACACTTTTTCATGCATTTCCTACAGAGAACTAAGCCCCCAATGAATTTTAAGATTACACCAGCAAGAAATTAATTCCCATACTAATGACAAGCTTAAATTACAGCACCTTTGGCTTTGCGGTGGGCCAGCATCAGGTCTATGTGCTTTAAAAATGTGTAACAAACTTTGAAAGGACAGAGGGTAACTTGTTTTGCTTAATAACTTACACCTGTGTAAAATCATCCCTGAAGTAAAGCTGTAGAAAGGAGACATTTCTGTTTACATGAAAATAATCCCTTCATCACCTTATTGGTACTATTGCACACATCATAATCTTATTTTTAAAACCAGGTGTTAAGTATCATAGATAATAACAATTTATCAAATATATTGCTATCATTAGCTTGGCTGAGACCAGAGGGAAACATGAAGTGCATCACAGCTGAATAGCTTCTGGTTTACACCATGGCCCTTGAAAATCCACCAGGAGTAGCTCATGGGGCTTCTACTGCAATCTGAGCCGTTCTATGCCTTTTTCCTATGGGGCTGTCTCAACTTACAAGGTGAAATTCATCCCAGTGCACCACACGCTCACTAATGCTGGGCTATTAAAATTAATTCCCAAACTATCTCCAGATGCAAAGTCCCCAGAAGGCCAAAGGACAACAGCTGTAGAAGAACAGCTACTTCCCTTTTAAATGCTCTTCTCTACGCCCTTCAAGGCCAAAACATTCTCTTGAAATGCATTCTCCTTTCCAAAGACCTCACCTTCACAAGTACATAGATTTGCTGTCTAACACTGGGGCCTCAAATGGTAATTCTTAATGGTAGTTCATCCCTGAGTACAAAGCTCTATTTTCTACAGCAAATGGGAATTTCTGGGGTGACTCTACACAAAGAAAAAACCAACATACCTCAGGTGAAGAGGCCAGGATATACATACTCTGTGAAGGGTCAACTCTTATCTATACCTAAACCACAACAAAAAGCTGTAGACACTAACATTTTAAAAGTACCAATCCTCAGTTTCATTCTCACCCTGTGATAATGATTTCGGGATATGTCTGAGCTCCAAGGTTCCATGCTCCACCACTGATAGGCCACTCCTAAACAAACAACAAGAATGCAGAGATCACAACCAATTTTGATGAATCTTGCTTGGTTAATTTTTAAACTCAAGATTAGGCAACATCTTCTTCCAAAAAGCAATACAGCTCATAAAAGGAACAAAAATGTGTAGCATTCAAGGCCTTTAAGGCTTATTACCATTTTTATGTTATCAATGAAGGCTTCTGAAACTTAATACATTATTTATATGTACTTATATTTATAAGACATTTTTATGTTATCAGTTAAAGTTCTATGTTTTTAAAATATTTCTGTATAGCTAACACCCAACAATCCAAAATAGGAACTAGAGGAAGGAGTAACAGTTTTGCTACTCTTTTCAGATTCCTTGACTCTTGGAGTTTCTGTAGGTCACTGAATAGACCGAGAATCTGTTTTGAGGACGAAGACTACTGAAGAAGCTGGCCCAGAATGAAGTATCTGAGCATGATGCTACGAGATATGAGATAAAGGAATGCAGCTTTTACATAACATATGAAATCACTGTCTCTTCTCTGCCTTTTTTTTACTAGTGGCAAGACTCCCGTTTTCTTCCTAGCCTGGTAGAGTGAAATGCTGGTCTGTGCCTAAAGGCTGACATGTATGGATACAGGATACAGCACGTGGAGGATGACACATGTGCAGAGTGGGTGAGGATGTATGCAGAGAATGAGTGGGTGGAAAAAACCTGGAACCACAAACTGGTTACGTGGATACATGGATTGGATGCTCATGGGTACAGAAACAGGTGGGCGGCAAATGAGTGGCTACCTACATTCGGAGTTTATATTTGTATGTGCACAAATAAAGCAAGGGGACAAAAGAGCCTGCAATGAATGTGTGCAGGTAGGTGATGGAACGTTTGGGTGACTATGTATACGAGGTAAGGATAGATAAGCAGACAAATTTAAATAAGAGAAAAAAAATATTTTCTGAACCACTTTGCTGAATCAAAAATCAAAAGAAGTAGGTGGGGCCCAGTTTCTCAGTTCATCGAAAACAAGGCAGCTCCAAGGAGAATACTTCTGTTAATATGAATAGAAAACTGATGATAGCTGATTTGTTTACCCAATATTTTTTCTAATTTATTTATTATGATGGATTAGTTCTAGTCAAAACATAAACCAGATTAATGCTTGAAATCTATAAAATAATTGCATTTCCTCTTTTTATTTCTGCAGCTTGTCCTATTTCTAAAAGCATTACATCAAGACTTTGGTTAAAAATAATTTTTAACATCCCTATTTAATAAAAATCTCACAGACATGCTGACAACTCTCAACTTTCAGTGAAGCTCTTCTGCTTACTTCTTTCAGTTAAAATTTTTTCACTTTTTTCTTTGATAGACATAACTTATCCATACAAATTTGAATTGTACACCGATGGCTTTCCTTTAACTCAATCTGATCTAGCATAAATCCAGCAGCCTAATGATTAAGTCCTATATAATGGTAATTAATGGCTGTGCTTATGTGATGGTGTTTCTGAAGGACAAATACCAGGCTGTAAGCATGCTGCTAAGCTGCTGGTAGGACCAACTTGAAAGTGATTACTAAAGAAGTAAAATGAAAATAATTTGGGAAGATGGTACAAAAACAGGTTGTAAATCTACTTTCTTCATTTAAAAACAATATTGGCTTTGTTTACCTTATTGCTGTATCCTTGCTTTTTATGTTTTGCTCCTACAGAATAGAGTACGGGAATCAAATCTGGAGGACAGTCCGCAAAATATTCTGTGCAGGTAACAGGTGACTCATGAATGTCAATAGGATATGGATTTTCAAAGATTGGAAAACTAGTTAAGGAAGACAATTTATTAGAAGCATTGTGACACACTGAGCCATAGAAGAAAACATATACTTAAAGTGTACAACAGAATCTAAGTAAAATCATTACTAATAAAGTCCATTTCCCCTTATTTATTCAAACACAAGTATTGTTTTTAATATCAATAATAATGTGTAGTTACTCAAATAAAGATAAAAAACTTCCATTGCTGTGACAAGAATTCTCTTATAACATAACTACCAATTCATGTGAATAGTTGCTAAGGCTAATAGGACTACTTGCGTGAATGAGGATTAGGAACTAATTTCCCCCAACATCTCAAAATCTCATTTATACAGAACTGACACAATTTCTAGAAGCTTCAGGTTCATGGATATGATATATATTATGACCCAAGAACTACTTATACAACTCTGGATTTTATATGGAGCAGCTTAGCTTATTGGGTTGGTAGACTACTGATTCTACAATAAACAATTGCAATAACAGATGAAGTAGATCTCAGTTTACTTCTCACTTCCATCAGTTTGGATGGTCTGATAAGGAGGAAGGCCTCACTTCTGGCATATTACACAATGTTATTCACAGTTCAAAAATGTAGGAAATTTGGTTCTGATTTCAGTTACATCCATTTCATATTACTGAGAGGATTTGAATTATTCTTGGAAGTAAGTGAGATCAGAATATGATTCATTTAAAATGTTTCAAGACATTAAGGGCAGAATCCGTTCCTAGTTGTACAGTGTGAATGTAGATGTACATTACTGGTAGTGTTGGAGGCAGAACAAAATAAGAATTGGATTCTGCATTACGTGATGTATAGTTCCTCTTTGATATGAACATTGATTCTGATATGAAAGAACTATTTGTCATTTAAACTAGCAACTACATCATGAAATAATCCCATAGATCCACTATAAATCAATGCCATTATTTATTAAGATACTAAGTAAATACTTAAGTGGTAGTCCCTGTGGAGTCTAGTGAAGCTAGGCATGCATATAAGTAGTAGTTCAATCTGGCTTCCAAAACACACATTCAGGTAATAATTCAGCATGTGATTAAATATTACTTAACGTCGATGCTGAGTTAATGTTTGAGGGCTATGCTGAAGCGACTGCAGATTTAGATTTACTCCCAAACTTAAGAACAAATATTAACATAAGTTCCTGTCGGTTAGCTGATCTTAGCTTTTAAGGTGGAGGTAAACATATAGAGTGAATCATTACCAGGAGTGAATGATTTTGGATAGTAAAATGACATTGCATGATAACATTTGGATTTTTATCATAACTTGCTGGACAGTTAAGATACACAAATAACTTCATATAAGACTTCATACTTACTTGCTTTGCGTCAGGTCAACAACAATGAGATCTTTTTCCAAAAGCACAACTACAGCATAGGGTTCTTGAAATTCTGTAAGCGAGGAATCAAATATAAAAGACATGGAGTTCTCCTATTAGTAATTTTAAACAAGCAAGTCATATTTATGTGCTTTAAACATTCACAGTATATTAAACAAAAGGTAAAAAAAAAAATCCTAGCCATACCCACAAACTAGACATATCTGCAAACTAGGGCCAGACAGGAACTGAGAAATGCCAACATGATGGTATTTTGAAAGTAAAGAAACAGAATATGAATAAGTTGTGTGTATCACTGCATTGCTGAATCCAGTTATTATGCAGAAAATGTATTTTTGCTGTCCAGTAGTAAAACTTCTACTGTGTACAACTGTTCTTCAAAAACAGATTGTGAAGAGCTGCTCCAGTCCACTTGATGATACGCAATGCCCTCATTTCCAAAGCAATTCCAAAGGAATATTCCAAAGGAATCCTGCAAGTCTGCTGTGTTCAATTCAGATACTGACACACTCCTTCCTCCTGTACACTGTTTAAATTATACAGTTTTATTTTTTCTTTAATGCTTTTTTGGTTAATCAAAAATAAACAATTAAAATGACAAATAAACATTTCTCTTGATGCATAGGGTGCATGAGTTTACATAGCATAAAAGTAATTTAAAAAAATATAAATGTGAAATTACGACTCCCTTCTCAATCGCAGCAACCCACTCCAGTATGTGCAAGCTCAGAGTACACTCTTCAGATGGCTGATGCCAAAAGGCTGAGCAAACTGACAGCAACTGATTTACCTTCCTTTCAGGCCAGCTACGAATGCACATTATTTGTGGCCTGGTTTTATACAAGGCTACGAATAACACGGGTTAAACCAAAATTTTTAAATATTAGTGTAATGTAGAAGGGGCTACAAAATCTTAGTACTTGGAAGTGTCACTGTATTTGACACAGTTAAATGAAGGCCCAAACTAACTTTGATTAATGAAAATTACATTTTTGCATGACATCGAAACAAACATACACTTTATGTTTGCTAAGTGTTTTTAATATGCATTTGATTTAGCTACATATATAAGATCTATTTTACTTTTCTGCTTGAGGGCTTACAATGCTAAACTCAGGGTTTTTTTGACTTACAGCTTTTCTTAATTTACTTTCTCGAGTTTTCTGTGAATGTACTTCAGAATATGGCAGCCCCACAATATGCAGCAAAACACTTCTAACAGTTCAATTCAGGCTGAAGCGTAAGAACTATTTTGCAGATAAGTGATAGTTTAATCTTCAATAATTTAACAATCTATACATTTTCAGCATCATGGAAAATGCCAGAAATATTTGCACCTACGTTTGATTAATAGCAACATTTTGTCACACTAGCCCATGTGTTTCAAGCTTATATCTGGAGACTTATGCATGCTTTATTGTCCACTCATTACTTGCTTCCTATATTGAGAATGCAAACAAGTTCCAGTTACTTTCAGTGATGTGGTTTTCTTGAGATGAAGACAACTGTGAGAATGAAAGTCCCTGGAATTAAATTAAGTTATGAGAGAAGATCTCTTAATTTATGTTTTGTATAACTGTGTTTTGCTTAATAAACTCACCATTTGGATATGGGGTTTCACAAAGGGTTAAAAAATCAACTATAGGGTGATCCATTTCAAGAACTGTAATTGCTTTCCCATGCATGATTGTTAAACTTGGTCTTCGACAAGCCTTATCATATGACAATCCACCAGAAAAGATCACAAATGGTTCACTGTATTAAAAAAATCAACATAGTAGTTATAAGTTTATATAGTACATACAAGTTTACATTACAGGTTTAGTACTTTTAAATCATAATGAATAATTTTGGAAAAAGAAAGAGGGAAAAATTCTAAAAGGACTTTAACTCAGGAATGTAACATTGAGTTAATTATATAAATAAATCATACCTGTTTTTACAGGTCTTGTACTCTACTTTAAGAATTGGTTTACAAGATTCAGTTTTTTTTCCATCTCTTTGAATTTTTCCTAAGGAAAGAAAGAAAGATTAAAATTTATTAAAACATCATGATAATAGAACTATCAAACTAAAACATACACACTGAAGCAACTGTATAAGGAGAAAAAGAATGCAACTTTAAAGCTACAGAAGACAATGAGTATTACCTTCTGTTTCTGTAAAATAAGCATATGTCTAAATTAATTACATTTGTTTAAGGCTTTATGTTTTGACTGCCACATCAGTCTAAAGGACCACAGACTACACTTCAAAGACATCTGGAAACCATGCAGATTACTGAGAAGGATGATACTTAACTAAGAATTAATGAATCTGACCAAAAGTATACCTTTTTTGGAACACATTATGACTATAAACAGATTAATTTTTTCCTCTGTCATTCTTAGATTGACTCAATTCCTTTTGTTGGCAAAATGTTACATGCTCTGGAGTGTAGCTAGTTGAGCGATAAATTTAAATTAAGCGTACAATTGAAATTCATGGGTTCTTGGTTAATAATGGCTCAGTACTTTCTTTCAGTCAGAGAAAAGTCACTCGTAAACAAAAAAAAATAACAATTTTGGTTTTGTTACTTTGGAAAGCCTATGCTTGCTTTCGACAACAACCGGATTGGAGGATACAGCGCAGATGGAGCCAGACTGTTCTCAGAGGTGCTCAGTGACATGACAGAAGGCAAAGGACTCAAGTTGTGACATGGGAAATTATGGTTAGACATTAGCAAAAAAACCTGTACTGTAAGCGTCACTGAATACTGGAAGACGTTGCCCAGAGAGGTTGTTCAATTTGTTGTTGGAAGTGTTCAAGTGGCCAGTGTTAACTGGACATTTCCCTAAACTAACTGATCTAATCAGGCCTGTTCTGAGGTGGGGGTTAGACTAGATGACCTCTGAGAGGTCCCTTCCAACAAAAAGTACAATTCTATGACCAAAAATGATAAAATAAAAGAAATTAAGAAATTTAAGCAAATGCTAAAACTTTTCTGGGTCACACAGATCTTGCCTTCCCTTTCTTCCTCTCTCCACCCAGTCAGGCTTCTTGGTAATGTATTGATTTGCAATAGAGTTAATACCTTTTAATCTCATTTATAGGAAGCAATGGCACAAAAAGTCCCAGCTATAAAAGATATAGTCATTTCATAATATGGTTCTTTGAATTCTTCATAGCAGTGACTTGGGAAGCCTCTACAAGAAGCAACATAGTGCCTTGTACAAAATGTATTACTTCTTGTGAAAATTGCACATATAAGCATGTAAGTACAAAATACAGAAGAAAGAAATATGAAAATCCCATATCCTGAGGGTGTCAAAGACTAGCAGTAGACTATTAAGATGAATTGGACAAAAGAAGACATTAGAGTAATATTACCCAGTAAGAGGTATTTATGACACCAATTTAAAAAAAAGTTTGATCAAAATTGCTCTCCTTTTTTTATAATACTTTGCAGCTACTTTGCAGATTAAAATATTTATGCAAGAAGCAACTCTGGATCTGGGCTACAATAAAAAAGGAAACAAACATAGATATTAGCAAACAGCATGAGGAATATTGTCTTGTTTCTTAGTTATACATTTTAACTACCAAAATTACCATGTGGAATTGTGGTCTGGAATGGTCTGTTAGGACTTTTCAGATTCCATAAGGTCAAGCTGCCATCAGAGTGACTGCACATGAACTGTTTCCCTTCATGATGCCAAGCAACAGAATGAATAGCCTACAGAAATGAAAGAAGAACTTGAGATTGAAATGGAATACAGTATTTACACTAATGATATTTTAATGTATGACTTTGGATTATATTAATCTAACAGCATATCAACAGTTGGATGCTTCTTGTTTGTCTCAAGTCCATAACCAGCACTTTTTGGTAACCAATGGCTTTAATCTACTGCTAGTCAAGCAAAACAATTCAGTACAAATGCTAACATAACACAAGAATATGAGAAAGCCTGTACTGAATCAGACCAAAATTGAAGGAACCCTAAAAGTAAAAGAACAAGGGACATACAGTGCAATTGTAATATGTCTGATAGCTCTCCTTAGAAGTATTTCATCTGGCAAACATGCTGGGAATTCTGTGTGAAAATTTTACAGCTAAAATATAACACATGCAGTCTTCACCAGAGGATTATTTAGGAAAAGTTCTTGAATCATTCTTCCCCCCACATACTTACGTTTCAGAGCATGTACACAGAAATCTGGGATATTTAATGTAAAAGCAAGACCACTAAAGAGACCTGGATTGTTTCACTGATATAGGAAATTAACAAAACAATGATGTAAAATACTTTTGGAAGAGATAGTGCTTCAAAGAAGAGGAATATTGCACTCCTATGTATACAATGCAAGTACCACATGATGAATGTTACTTAGGCCAAAAAGCAACACTTAATTAATAGACTGTTCTTAGTATTTCATGCATAATTAGTGCAACTGACTGAAAATGTCTACAATTACATCAAACAAGCTGAAAGGATAATGGTGTAAGTCCTTCCTTTCCACAGGTATGTGCTGGAAACTAACAAATGCCATTTTCTGACAAAACAAAGTATTGCTTCATTGTATACCACAGTTTCTCACACACTTCCCTCAGAAGCACAAACTCACAGAATTTTCCCTTGAATCCATTTCCATTCTAGAAATGTTAGCTGCCAATTTCAAAAAACACAGTAAGTTTTTATGTAAATGTATATACAAGAGACCTGTTTTTGAATGCAGTTTAATAAATTTCCATTTTTGGAACCCAGGAAATCCACTTTCAATTGCATATTGGCATTTACCTGATTTATTAACTTTAAAATCATGCCTGGGTATTCATAAGTCATCACTGCAGTTATCCATATCAATTTTGCTTAAGCTGACAGGAAATAAACCCAAGTGCTACTGGTCACTATTCAAAACTCCCTGTTGGTCTTCCTCTTTTAATAAATATCTTGATTTTTATGGTTGGTAACGGCTCATGGTCTGGAGGGAATAAAAAAAGCATAGACACAAATGAGCCTTTGCATTAAGACGACTGAGATGTTTTAACAGGAATCTGAAACGCCTTGTATATGAATGCTTTGCTAACCCACTAGCAAGCTAGTCATGCCAATAAAGACTCAACAAACAGGGCTGAACAAAGTGAACTCTAGATATTTATGTTAAAATTATATGAGCGTCACTCAAACCTCTACCTACCAGAGGGAGGTTGGCATACAATTCCTCCTAAATACCCATAAGATACCAAACTATAACTGAAGCAACAAAAGCTAACACAGAAAGTTGGTTCATACAGAGTCCAATACCATTGCCCTCAGGTAGTGAGAACCTTAGATCTGTGGGGAGCGCTGCTTCACTTACACTAAAGGCATGTCTATCCTTGTGCATATAATTCTGACATGAGCTCATTCATGCTTGCTATCATGCCAAATTTGAATCTGCTTTTGATGTGTTGTCACACACAGAAACATTTCACATGGTTACAGTCGCTAACTGTGTCTGAGCAGGAGCTAGCAACTAGCAGCTGAAAATTGTACCAAGCTGCTTGGTAAACTGCCACTCAGCTGCTAGGTGCCACCTGCCAGCATAAACCTCCTGTTGAGAGGAGATGAGGAGGAATGCTCTTGTCACAGACAGTTGGCATAGCAGCAATTCAAACTTACCTGTTAGACTTTGCCCTAAAAGGGGCAAGAAATACTTAGAATTGCTTTTGAAGGTCTCAGCTGGGAGTCATGACTAATGCTGAAAGGTGGTACTGAACAAGTCCCTAAATTTCTCTCTGCTAGAATATCTAGCATTCTGATCCACTTCTTTAGCATCCACACAAAAAAAGGAGCAGTTATTTGCTTAGAACAGGAGTTCATCATGGTTGGTGACTCATGTGAATGTTCACACAGTGTGTGCACATAAAGCATATCACTCCAGATGGGGTATGTTTCTCCTTCTGCAATACCCACAGTGGTTGCATACATATTCCATCTTCTCTCATACTCAGCATGTACTAAAATTAAGCATGCCCAACACCATTTCAGTTCCTTCCCAGCCACAAACCTGCTCCACTGAGAAGGTCTTTTAATCATACCTTGAACAAGCACCATACTCATCTCATCCCATTGCTTGCATCTTACCATTAAGGACCATTACAGCAAGGGCCACATCAGATTTGATACTTCCATAATGGCATAGTGCTTGATAAAAGTTGGGAGATGTCATTTGGCAAATGTCTCTGTGAACTCTGCAGCTTCACTTGGGAGACATGTTCTAATGAAAGATGATGACTATGCTTCAGGAAGCTCTGAACGTGCATTGACACAACCTGTCAAACTTTTAAATAGTCTGCATATGAAGACGGCTGGGGTTTTTTGGGTCTGCCTACTATCGACAATAACTTGTGAATCCTTTGAAGTATCTAGCTTGTTTATGTGGTTTCTTTTTATAAAAATTGATGGAAATAAACTTTTGAAGGAATTTATAAAAAGGCTTGCAAGGAAAGTCTTTTATAGAGGGTGTCATATAGGAGCATTGATCGAAAGGGCCTGACTATCTCATACGTATCACCACTGAGAAGATGACAATCATCATCACACAAAAAAATGATTTTGCAGCTGACATCTTGAAGAGCAGACACAAGATTCTTTAGCAGCAGGTTCAAACTCCGTGCTGGCACCAGGTGTTTCACAAGCAAGAACATTTTAGTCTCTTGAGAAGCTTTAGCACAGTAGAAAGAATACAGAGAAACTCCTTGTGTCAGGAGTTGATGAATTGAGGCAGCCTCTAACTGGTCATCGGCAGGGCTAAAAGAGAGACAGGACTTCTTTTAGCTTCGGTGAGTAAACCGTAAGTTATCAGGGAGAAGCTTTAAAGGGAAGATTCAGGCTTACAAGAACACTAAGCAGAGAAGTTCCAGATAATGTAACTTGTACAGCTTTTTCTATCTTTTGTGAGAACCTCTCTCATTTGAAATGAGCAGACATGTTTTATCTATGAAAGGTTCCCAGTCTTCAAGACATGAAGTATAGCACGACAAAGATGGAGTAAGGAATGCAGCTGTAAATGCTGCAATTGCAGGTCTGTGAACAGGGGGCAGAGTCTTTGGCACGACCATTTAGAAGCTATTGGGTTGTCTCAGTGAGCTGTTTATCCTAGGAACAATGTGTCCATGACATCAATCTGGACAGCAAGTAAAACGAAAGGGCATACTTCTGCAAGTAATAGACAGATCCTGGTAATATTATAGGAAACAACTCACCTCCCCGTCATAACATCACATATATTTTGAGGAGATGTCTGCGACATATATCCATGTCTGCAAGTCTCATGTGATGTAAAGCATCACAGTGGTATGACAATGCCATGCAGCCTAGAAAGGATAGGCAAGATTTCACAGTGATGATGTCATAGTGAACTGATAACTGTTATCTCTTGATGATCCTTTTGTCAGTCAAGTGTGCAAATAAAGAGGACCTATTCCATCTGAGCTGAGTGTCCACTACTTCTAAGACGTCAATTAAAAAAACAGTACTCAACATAGTGAAAAAATTGAATGGAAGAGACCTTTTAATAATAGTTCTCACTGACAATGAAATGAAAACATTTCTTGTGGCTGTATGAAAGGAAATATCTTTAAATTCATGAGGTATTAAAGTTTTCCTCTCTATAACAATTGAATGTGACCAGATAAAGCCTCCATCTTGAACTTAAAAGAGAAGAATATTTAGATTGGTAGATAGACAACCCATTACCCGCCTTGTTTCCTCTTCTGTATAAAAAAATATCTGCGGTTAACTTCTCACTCCTGTGTTGCAGTGACAGGTTCTACAGATCTGAACAACAACAGACAGCCTCCTTCTCAACAGCTGGTCTTGGGAGACTGAAATCCAATGCTGTCAACAGTAACACAGGAGAATCCAGTTGAGGCTTGATCCTGTGAAAGGATGAGTATTCGGATGGAGTCTTGAGGGTGCTGACATTTATTTTGAGTGACATTACCAAGCTCGACAGCTATATGAAGAAGATTACAGAGAACTTGCCTTGGTGATGAACACTCACAGTCCATTGAAGACAAGAAAATAAGCTGTTTCTCACAGTACATACCAAGTGCCCCTTAACGGAGAAGCCTGGTGCCAGGGGAATTTTTGCTAATTATTGCTACTAAACAGAAGTATCTGCTTCACTGATAAGCCAGAAAAGATTGTGCCATCTGATGATCCTTAAAGATGCCGGAAGAGGAAGTGGTCCAGTTAGATGAGATTTCCAGTTCTTTCACCATCAAAGAGGGTGACTACATTAGTTTCAAAACTGGTGCTAAAGAAAGTGTAATGATACTAAGAAAAATAAGGCTGGATTAATTTCTTTCAGACCCCATTCAAAGAGGCACTTTGGTATTCAATGAAGATACAGAACATTTACAGCCATTTATCTGAGACCTCACAGATACCCTGCAATTGCGACTGGCTGGCTCAGTGCCAGAATGATACCAAAACATTGGTCAGATATCATGGGGCACGAAGCCTTGCATCAGTCCAGATGGAATGGTGAAGGGGAGCAGGAATAATGTTTTCTGGACTGTGACCTTTGTGACCAATCTGTAAGAAGAGGCATAGGTTTGAAAACTTGGGTTGGTGCCAAATACCAAGTGGCACATGCTGAACTAATCACTTGCGACTCACGAAAGCTACACAACCCAGGATTTAAAAAGGAACCCCTTTTAGGGGCTCCCTAAGGGAATCCTAGCAGATCTGGAACATTATCAATCTGCAGCCTGAAAGTCTGGAATAAAGTACAATGGCTTGTCATACAACCCTTTTAAAGACAAGAAAAATCTTGCAACTATTTCAGCAGACAATAGCAAGCCATTGCAAGTTGCACGAAGTGGATTAATGACACAGCAAGTAACCACGGAGGTGGAAAGCACATGACTAATGAAAAGGCCCCAGAAAAATTCCTGAGGCCAGTATAGAAGAATGTGGAACAATTAAATTGTATGAAAGATTTTCAACACCCAACAGCTCTGTCTCAACACGTAAAAAATTAAAACGAAATAATGGAAACAGAATTATGAAGATCCTGGTTTATGTAGTCTCATTCTCAGCACAAGAGAGGGCAGCGAGTGAACAGACCCTCCCCAGGAGACCTGTAAAAGGAAAAAGTTGTCCAGCCTTAAGTAACAGAACAGGCGCAATTTTACAAGTGTTTGCACAGGCAGACTGTCACTTAGAGACAATTTAGTGGGCATGTCTTGATCTTCAATCAGATCTTGAGTACGAGGCAATATCAATAGCCCTACAAAATAATTTGTCTTTCATTCTACTTAATGTTCTAGTAATAGTCAGTAAAGATAAATGTATAATTCCTAATGTAGCTGTATTTCAGGTCATCTCATTCCTACACTCTGTTCAGCTAAGGATCCCACACAAGCTAACGAACTTGTCAGAATCAAGGGGAAGAGACTCGGTGTCATAGTACACTCACAAGAGCTTAATGCATTAGAACTACAGATTTCAGGTTTTGATTTCTATTGTCAATAACTTGTTCAAAAGCATAGTACAAACAGTATTTCCAGAAGAAGCAACGCCTTAAGATAAATCTCCATCTGCTTGATAAAGACATATGATAAACTGCTGAATAACAGTTTTTCTGAATTAATGGAAACTGCTTACCTCATCATAATATGCTCTCAGATCAGCTCTTTTAGATCGTAAGTCCCAGAGTACTACAGTCCCATTTTCATAGCCTATCAATAGCTGGAGGAGGGAAACACACAATTATACTTTCAGATTCAAAAGGTATATACAAATATTGCAGAACTTCATGGTCTTAAGAGATTTTTAAAAAATAAATAAGCGCTATAAAAAGAAATGCCAAACTGATGTGCAAGATTGTAGTTTGCACGACACATAACACCCAGCTTTCAAATTATCTTTCAATATAAATTACTTTTTATTATGGACAACTTATGTTTTAACATGGAAGAAAAAATGTACTATATACTCCTTTTTTTTTTTCTTTGTTTGTATTTTTCCAAGATTATGTGTCTGGACAGTCTTCATAATTGTGCATCTGTTGAGAAAATAAGACCCTAGCGTGTTCCTCTCAGCTCTTACCTTCCTTGCTCCTGGTTAGAGAGAAAACTGTTTGACACCTAAGAGATCACTTAAATAACTTCAAACCAAAGAGTCGCCAGATTAAACTCTCACTCAACTACATATATTACTTTAATTTTTGCTTTCCACTGCTTTAGAACATTTTGAAGAAATCCTCTCACAGAGAATAAATTGCTTTCTTCCCTAGAAATGGAAAATATACTAATTAGTATGTGAATTTTTACTTCTAGAACTAGCGTGTCATATCAGCGTGCACACCTGAGAAATACCAGCAAAGAAGATTTGTTAAAAAGATGAAAGAGAAGAAAAATGATGTTCAGGAGAAAAATAAGAATGATCACAATCCTTTCTCCTTGTCCCTGTTGAAAATAACTGAATTACTGATCTGGCATTGTATTGAGTACTCCTTATTTGAACACCATCAATTTCAGATCTTATGGAAGATGTGAAGCCTGGCCTACTTAAATGTCCTGGAAATTGCTTCCCATAGAGCCCATCTTCTTAAGAATCTGTCCTGGACATGAAGACAGGGAATGACCAAACTGACAGACTCACACATTTCTGCTATGGAATGTTTTATACAACTGGCAGTGATAAATGCAGTTCTTTGTCCATGAAGACAAGGATCACAGAATGCAGGCAAGGATTTACATTTTCTATATTAAGAATTTGAACAGAAGAATGATGAGACTATCTCTTAGTCTGTGAGACCTTACCTGCATCTTTGTCATCACTCACTTTAGCTTATCTAAGTCATAAAAATGAAACTTGGCTGAGCTGCTAAACAAAACATCACTTTGTTTCCAAGTTAAATATAATTGATACATCAATACTGCTATAAAAGAGTCTGGCAATACTCTCAGTTCTACTAGATATGATTCTTTATATTGCCAGGAGAATGCTCATTATGTCGAGATGTATTACCTAATCTAGGAATGATTTATAGTTAGTATATTTAATACCCGAATGTGAACAATACCTGATTACTTAAGAATTCTGCTTCCTGAAAAAAATTCAAACTGACCTGGAGAAATTCCAGAATATTTATCATTTTTGCTGTGGAGAGGTCCATATGGGATTCTGTGGCAGAGTAAATGTGAAAAGACATCCTGTTCAGAAAGCATGCAGCTAACTGGATAGCACTTGTGTCAGGATGCCATATGGTATCCTGGGATAATAGATTACCATTGAGAGAGTGAACAAAGAAGTGTCTTATTCTGACTGCTTTTGCTGTTAGTGTAGTGATCCTAAATGGAAGGATATTGTTTATCTAGGAGTTAGTGATCCACATAGCAATTAACCTCAGTAGGTGCAGGTCTGTGCTATGCTATGTTGTGCTGCATATCCCACTTGGCTTTCAGGCACGTGTTGTGCTGCACATATTCCTTGGCCACAAGACAAACTTCGCTGTCTAATTGTAAAGAAGCAGCTTGTAGGCAGGTACCCCTTGGTAAGGGCAATTACAGCACCTTTGTGACCTTGTCTTTATCTTAATGTAAGGCAGTATGTTCTCATGTGAATATCCTTTTGCTTGACAGTAGAAATTAATAGATTAAAAAAAAAAAGTAACCTTTTGAGAACTCTAAAGATGAAAATGTTGGCAAGCCTCTTCACAGAGGGGACCAGCACAGTGTGCTGTGCCCTTATTGGACATCCATCTAATGCTGTGGAACTTGGGGTTCCCACCACCTGAAGGAATGTAAGATTATCTTCTATTTCTTTTTCGTATTAACTCCAAGAAATGGTATTTAAATCAATGTTATGGAGTCTGAATGACTCCCACACTGTTATCATAACAAGCACTTGCACCAGTGCATTACAGCTGCCTACCAAACCAGTTGAGTTCAGTTCATATCTACCAGTGTTCTTTTCACTTCAGCTTTTGTACAAATATATTCAGGAAACTGAAGGAATAGAAAAGCATTTAGGATGTGACCCTGTTTCATAATAAGCCTTCCTTCCTGGTGAAGCAGGCTTATCTTTTGATTTTTATCACTCTCTTCTGCAAAGATATCATGCTCCAGGTAATTACTGAAAGGTTAAATACCTCCTATCAGAGACAGCATTTCACCTGATCTATTGCTGAAATGCTTAATGCACAACAGCACTACAGAACTGCAAAATACACAGTGCTGTGATTTCAGGGAAGAAGCTGAAAGGTAAACAGATTTGCTGCATAGCCAGGAATCTCTCTCTTTCTTTGCTCAGATGGTAGCCATGCTGCTAATCTATTAGTACTGTGGTAGGACACTGGTCAGAATTCCAGTTGGGTCAATGTCGTTAGTCTTATTGCCAGTATATTAATTTTGCTCTGAACTCTGACCTGTCTGAACCATAGGAAACCCAAATATTTGCACTCCTCTTGGCCATGGTAAGCACTTAAGAGATCTATAGGACAAGCTCTAGTCTGTAATATTAAACGAGGTAAAAAAGAAAACATCCATAAGTGCAGTTGAAGGAGAAAAGATAGACAAAGAAGAAAAATATGTGTAAAAAGTAAAAACGGAAAGATTTCTTTTCAGCTTGTGTTTCCTGGCACCTTGTTTAATTACTCCTGCTTAATTAGGTTAAGAATCATGCAGAAGGCTGCACAGAATTTGAAGGAGGGAAGAGTCCTGGCAAGATCTTCCTTGTCTAGTGGAGTTGCTCCACATTTTGACTTAACAAATCCTGCTTTTGATGATGGTGTTTTAGGGTAATTTCTCCTTTGCAGTCAATTAATTGCATCCTGGTACATGCAAGCCAGCCCCTTCCTTGTCCTGGTAGCACAAAACAGCTGGGAGAAACAAAACAAGCCTGCCAAAAGCACACTGTATTTAGATGTTATTAGATTTTGGAACACAGACTCAGAGATAGGAAGTGCAGTCCACCAGCTAATAGTTAATAGCATTAAACCTTTTCTTATTTACATTTCTCCAGTTGCTGGGAAACTGCAGATCATTGCAGTTAATATCTTCTCCTGTGTCAGCAAGAAAAATCATGTTTGCTACAGATCTGCTACTTAAAAATGTGGACTTCAGTCTGTTCCTAATGTGCATTTATTCATTGATTTGGCAGGCACATTTATATTTCATGGACTTAATCACTAGGTCCCCAAATTGTTCTTAAGTGACACCATAAATGCCCAAATTCTCTTTGTCATCTGCCTTCCAGCCACAACTTGCTAGATTCATAAAAGAGACTGTCTCCAAAGTCTGCCTTGATAGTTTGCCTGGAGGGCACTCTGGAAAAATTTTGAATGGCTGAAGTTTTCTGGAATTACAGTCCCTTTTTTGGCACAGAAAACCTGGTCATCAGTCACTGATACAAACTGGAACTTTTAGGAATTTAAAAGAATTTTTAAAAGATTAATATAGAGTCAGCACACAAATATCCCTGGCTTTCAAAAAGAGATCTTATGATTGTCCTAGATTTGGAAAGGTTTATCTCTGTTTTAGGTCTCTCAATTACTTGGCGCCCACAGAAGAATGCTTCTTATTTACTTCAGTGAAACACATCCAGTGAAACAACTTTGTGATACCCCAGAGAAGGATATAGCACTGGACCCTTGTAGGGTACAATGTCTTTGTACTTTTAGAGTGCAAGAATATCTGTATTTTGAGCAATGATTATGACTGATTTGTACCCATTATTTAATTCCTGAAGCATAGATAAAGAACACTTTCATCTGCTGCCTGCCATGAAGTGATGTGAGGAATCTGATTTCTCCCATCAACACCTTTTGGTGTTCTTTGGTTACCTTGAGGCTAAGGAGCTAAGCAGTAAGTAGAACTGTCTTGAAACAGCTATATTATCTAAGAGCAACTCTACTAAATTAAACAAAAGGTGTAACTATCATGGTATCTTGCACTTAAATCACCAAGAGCAAATACCAAAGAACAATATGTGAGGAGGGCAAATGCTTATCATACTCTTACATATTCTCTCAGCCTAAGTAATTTTCTCATTCAAAGATAGCCAACTCCTCAACTAGACATGACTCCACTTAACCTCATCTTTAATAACCTTTTAGGAAAATTCAGCAAACCTCTTCAGTAATCCTCAAATTGATTTGTCTTCTGTTAACTTTTCTAGTCTCCCTTGTGACCAATATACATTTTTAGCACCCACAGGATCATTTGAAAAAAGTTTTATAGCTTCTACCCATTGAACATTTGAAGAAGAACTTAATTGGCTTGTTTGGAATCTGACTTTTGTCAGCTTCATTTGATATCATTTTAGTTTTTGTATTGAGAGAGGCTATGAACTGTTTCTACCCTCTTCATAACAATTATGATTTTCAAAGTCAGAATCACAATCAGCTCTTTCCACAAGGAATTGTCCTGTCTCGGTTGTGTCTCATATTGAAAACCTTGCCCCTTCTCTGAATTTCTTTTAGCACAGTTGTGTTCTTTTTGAGATAGAAGGACAGTATTCAGCAGGCAAGTCAACAATGTGTTTACGCAATAGCCTTGTTTTGTTCTCTGTTCTTCTCCAGATAATGCCTAATTTTGATTTTCTCTATTGGTCAGTACTGAGCAGTGAGCTGGCATTTTCAGAGAACTATCAATCATCACTCAAAGCTCTTGATACCAAAGATGATCAGCAGTAATGATCAGCTCAGATTCATTGTTTTACATGTAAATTCAGGAACGTTTTCCCCCACACATATGCTTCCCATCATTTACACTGAATACTTACAAAAGACAGTACTTAACCCACCATTTTACTGCTGAGTTTCTCAGCTTTCTAAAGCCCAGCAAACCTGATCACACCACTGCTTACTCTCTTTTCTAGGTTGTTTATATGGTGAACAGCAAAAGTCCAAGAAGTTGGGTTTTTTTTTTTCCATTTTTTCCCCATTCTAAAGAAAGATTGTTTTATCCTTCATTCTTTCAACCAAAGCTTCATGAGACTTAGTTGAAAAAATTAGCTTAATTTTTTCTCTACTGTTGGATTTTTTTGACCTAGAGCAATATCTTTTGATTTAGTGCTTGGATCTTCTCTAACATCTGTGTGTACCTTTTAATGACATCTTCCTGTATACATCAAACAGTATCAATTCCATGTTCCGCAAATCTGCAAGTATTTTGTTAGCACCAATTTGTTCTTTAAACCACTCTCAATCTATCAATGATATAAACAGCAGCACTGGGATGGTTTCAGTATGGCTTACATTTTCTACTCTTTCTCCTCATAAATTTCCAATGTTTGTTTTTCATAGGGATCCATCTGATTTTGCTCTTGCTGTTGTTGTTAGCATGCTAGTACTGCATCAGTGCCCAGAGATCTCCAATGTGCCCTCTGAGCAACAAGCAATTGCATTTCCAAGCAAGTTCTCCTCTAACTCCCTCTCCTGGGTCCTTCTCCTCTTCTCTCTTTCTGCTGAAGTCAAAATATTTTAGGTTTCTGTTTGGACATGGCGCATGACATTCCTGTAAGAGATGTTCGCTCACAAGACCATTTTTTTCTTTTAGTATCACATCGTTTCTCCCTACACCCTATGCTTTAGGTAGGTCATCAGCAGCTTCTGTTGTGTCCAGTTTACAAGAGTTAAGCCTCATCAATAAACCTTTATTTTTATCAGGTATTTTGCCATATATAATTAAATAGCATTTCTTCATGGTTTCTATTTTGAGGCTAAAACACTACACTTCACCGGGCTTAATTACTTTATTTGCTGTATTCTAAATTGCTTAATCTATTGTAATTCTTCCAAAAAGGCTTAGAGATTCAATCTAACTTGTTGGGGGGCTAGCTGGCAAGTGCATCATTTGCATATAGTTCACCTTGCAATATGGATAAGTCCAGGGACGGATAATCCAAATGAAATTTAGATGTAGTCATCAGTATTTTTCTAGGTACCCATATTAATTTCAGCATAATGTCTCCCATATCTGTATCAGAAATTCAAACTGCTACTAGTTTCCAGTTTATAACAGGTTCAGCTGCTATGTGAGGCACACTGTTCAACAGATACATCATTTGTAAGATGCACTCCTTTATAAATACAGACTAAAATGCAATTGGCAAAAGTGATCAAAAATGATGAGATAGTTAAATGCCCCTTCCACACAGGGAAAATGCTCAAAAATTCAGTAGCAACACATAAATAAAAAAGCTCTGGTATAAAGCTGGTATTCTGGCAACCAAATTTCATTTTGGAAAAGCTACCATACTAATAAAGCCAACTCTGATTTTGCCTCCCGATGGTATCAGTCACGACCGTAATGCTCTGACAATATGCTTTGCTTCCACTTGTTAACAGCTCTTTGCTATTCTCAACTCCGTTCACAAACAGCAGCAAGTTCCAAAAGTGGATTACTATTGTTATTATTCTTGTATAAGAAAAGATGTATTATCTTATGAAAACTTACTATAATGATTTCATAATAGCATATTTATCCAAGTACTGCAGTCATGATACAGTTTTTAGTCAATTGTTACTTAAGCAAAGCCACGTTTATTTGATCAGGAACAATTTTAATTGGCTATAGGTTTCAAAGTAGAGTATGTTGTCTATACCACAGATTTTTTAGTCATTAAAATTGTAAAATAGTAAAAGTGACCTTGCAAATATAGCAAGAAAGCAGATGATAAAATTAATAAGCAATAAGAAAGAGCTATCAAGGCAAATAAAGGCTATGAAATGTTGCAATGTTTTATACCGTTAGCTGTACTCACTTTTCCTTCATCTCTTGGGCTGTCACTTAAATGTACAACTGGCCCAGGGTGAGTCTTTGTGGATCTGCAAGACAAAAATCAATTCAAATCCATGAATGTTTTTTATATAAAGAGCTAGATGCTTACCTTCATTTCTAGGTGTGTTAACGTGTACCTCCAATGTTTTAAAAGTCATTCTAAGAAGCCCAGCAGAGGAAGATAACTACCTGTAAGTTATCCATATCTTGTCATGTTCTCCTCTATTTCCTTTTTGCCTTTATAGGCAAAGATTATCCTTCATTGATGAACACTTTCTTCCATATACCCCCCCACACACACTATTCCTCCTATTACAGTGATTTTTTTAACCCCTCCACCCCCCCTCACTATTCCTCCTATTACAGTGATTTTTCCCCTCTTATTTGTGAGGCTTTTTTGTTTGGGTTTCAGAAATGAAGCATCTTGCCTTTGTCTATTCTCTAAAGCCTTATGACATCTTCAGACCAATTAATACAGTTACACTCACAGTGCATGTTCACTGAGGCTCCTCAGCCATAAAGCCCATCCCATGAGTCTTCGTAAGCCTCTATAAAGATTACTTATTGTTCTTGCTCTCCCCTCTCTTTTTGTAACATGTACCAACAACGTAGTATGTAACTTCGTCCAGGGACTGCTGCTTAAGTCATTGATGTCCAGCACCTGACAGCAAATGCAAATCATAGGAAACTGAATGGACAGATGAAGATTTTTCAACTGGCATCTTTTCTGACCAGACCTTTAGGCACGGCAGTCATACAGAGCAAAAAGACAAGCACCATTCCACAAAACTTCAGGCTATTTGAATGCCTGCACAGAACAGGTTTGGGGGTCAAAGCACAGGTCCCTTGCAGTTCAGCTTCAGATAAGAGACTTGCACGTTTGATCTTGGTTCACCAAAGATCATCAGGAGAAAAAACATGGCAGAGACTGGCAGGGCCCATAAAGCTAAGAATTTATCTGGAAGCCACACCTAAACCCACCGAGGCTCCAAGTTTTAAAACAATCTGCAAGAGGATTAAAGAAACAAACCAAAACAAGGTTCTCCAGCCAAACTGCTCAAAGGATTTTCCTAAATTAACAGTGTTCCTCTTCCTTTGGCTCAAATACTGCACTATAGCAAAACCAGCCTCTGTTCTACCAGGTCAGACTCTAAATCAAGACTGACAGTGGTATGCAAAAATTCCCAGGCAAATCAAACATTAAAATACTGTGCAGTAATTTATATCCTCATGGACGACTCCTTCGCAAAACCAGATACTCCAACACTCTTGAAAGCATGCATACTTTCCTCTGGCCTCTATTTTTTGCCCATAGAATGCTTTAAACATTTTTGGTCATGCACCAAAGCAGAGTGGCAAAGACCTTGTCTGATATTTACCTCTGAGGTAAAGACAATGAAAAACTACTCCAGACATTCTTAGACCTTCCAAACTAAGTTTATTCCAGGCCAGAGACAGAAAACTTTAAGTCACCTAAAGGCCAGACAGCCTTCCAAGACTACACCCCACCACTTCACATATATTTTAACATTACTGCTGGGTGCATGCACAAAGCTAGTGGCAACGTGTAAAGTCCCGTTCTTGGTGAACCTTCTCCACGAGATGATCCCATGCCACCACCTTCAGCTTTGTCAGATCAAGTTTCCAGAGATACCTGCAGCATGTTACTTTTCTACAAGAGGTCTCAGTGAGCCAGCCTTTTGCAAGAGCATTTTGCAACATATCCCAGCACAGAAGTGAGATCAGCAGGAAAGCGGCGGACAGCCAGTTTATACAGCAATATTCTATAATACAGACTGTCTTTAATGGTGCCAGCAGCAAGTACCCATTTGGCTTCAGACATGGCATGCAACAATTTTTGCAGAGATGCAGTTAGCGGGAGATCTGACTGTCATTCCCATCCAAGCCAGCTCCCCAGAGGGGACCTCTCTGGCTGCGCTTCTATTTCTGAGTAACCTGTACTGGAATAAAAAAAATCATTTCCACAACACCAGACGTTGAAGTAGGCAGGGTAGGTAGGCAGTGATGGGGAACTGAGGGGTGACATGAGGATATCTGCAAGCAGTGCTTAGACCCACATGTCTTGTACATCTGTCCTCAGCAAGTGAATATGACATCTTGGGACATTCTAGGCTACTTTGAACTTTGTTTCTGACATAGGTTCACCCATCTGAACTGGTAAGAATATGCTGACAGAAAGAATGAGGTCTGTTTGGGGTACATGATGCCTATGCCATGATAGGTAAAGAAGGAAGGATGAGAGGGAAAACGATGAAGAGAAGAGGCAGCATAAGAAATTTTGCTTTTTAGCCAGTTAAGAACCGCTGACAGATGACAGAAGAGGGAGCAGAGCCAAGCAAACATCAGGCATGACTCAGCTAGCAACAGACAAAATGATGGGAGGAGCAGACGCAGGCTGACTGGGCATACTGGTTTTGGTGGCAACCCCAGCCCATTGGACCAAGCAGTATGCAGGCTGGGTTGCTTGGCCACACCAGTATTGGTACTTGACCAGGAATATTGGCAAAATTGGGGAAAATGGAGGGAGAAAGGGAAATAGTATACTGTCTTTCTAAGCTAAAGGTTGATCCCATGTAGGCTGCTCTTTGTACCTAGCAATTTTAAAAGTCAAGAACAATTTAGATAAATCTGTGCAACCACCGTTTTCTTTTTAGGATACATATGCCATTGTTTACCAAAGAATTTATCCATTTATCTTTGGGCAGAAGAACCCTTACATGAGCTCTAGTCACTCTACATTACGTCTAATTTTAGGCTAATTACACTTTCATTGTCACACAAACTAGTGGTTCCTCTCTAAATGATATAAAAATGTCTTTTACTACCAGTCTTATTTTTGTTGTATATTCTTGCAGGGGCACAGCCTCAGATTTCTGTGCTAAGACCTCATCTAAAAGGGCTAACCGTCACTAATACAATACATTTTCCTACCTCCTCCATTTCTCTCCTGAATCTATTGTAAATGATAGTTGAAGGATCCTGGGATTAATTACACTGTAATAAAATTTCTTTTTGCTTTTCAGGACTTTAGGCACTTTTTTTTCTTTTAGGAGTATTATCTTTTTATTTTAAGGTTCCTAGCTATTTCTTTAGTTTCGTTAAGTAAGAGCTTCATGTACATTATCAGCAAAGTTGATACCAAAAACAGCAGTCTATGCACTAAATGTAAGAGATCTTATTCTTCCTCCTTCTCTTTCCCCTATAATTGATATAAGTATTATGTTAGTATTTACATTATCTTACTCCTCAGTGCTTTAATAGTTTAGTTGCTTTGTATTATAACTCACTGAGTCAGGCTTCCATTTTCTTCCAATTTTATTATTTTAGTCTGTCAGTCATGTCACTCTATCAAAAGACGCAACGAACCATTGTTTTGCTTTCACATGTACACCACGAGCCTTTGGTTCCATTCTTGATAGCTGTTTTATGTCAAATAGGTGTCAAGGTGTTGGCAGTCGGGAGCTGTATGGGGCGTTTCTGTGAGGAGAGGTCAGGGCTGTCCTGTTCTGGACACAGCCAGCTCCAGCCAGCTCAAACAGACTCATCACATGGCACAGCTGAGCCCCTCAGCCAAGACAGTACTGCCTCAGTGAAAACAAATTTAAGAAAGGGCAAAAAAACGCTGCACAGGCAGTGAAGAAAGTGTGAGAAACAGCCCTGTGAGAACTGAGGACAGCGAAGGAGGAGTGGAGAAGATGCTCCACGTGCATGAGCAGAGATTCCTCTGTTGCTGGTGGACAGGACCATGCCAGAGCATATATTTCCCCTGCAGCCTGTGGAGGACCCCACACTGGAGCAGGTGGATATTTCCTGAAGGAACTGCAGCTTGTGGAGAGCCCACATTGGAGCAGGCTTATCCTGAAGGCCTGCAGCCTGTGAAAGGACCTCTGCTGGAGCAGGGTGAAAGCACAAGGAGGAAGTAGCAGCAGAGAGGAGCTGTAATGGATCGACCACAATCCCCATCCCCTGCGCTGCTCAGGAAGGAGGAAGGGGAGGAGGTAGAGGACTTGGGAATGAAGGAGTGAAGTTGAGCCTAGGAAAAACAGGGGCTGGGGAGAAGGTGTTTTAGTTTTTGTCTGTGTTTCTTACCATTCTACTCTATTTTAACTGGCAATAAATTAAATTAAATTTCTCCAAGTCATCTGTTTTGCCCATTGACAGTAATTGGTAAGTGATCTCCCTGTCTTTATCTTGACCCATGAACTTTTCCATCTTATTTTCTTTCCCTGTCCTGTTGAGGAGGGGGACTGAGAGAGCAGCTGGGTGGGCGTCTCACAACCAGCCAGGGTCCACCCACCACAAATACCTTGATCGCTTAACAGCTGCCAGCTTTGATTATACATAGGTAAGAGGAAACAGAGATTCTATTGAGTTTGGCAATCATAACACTAACTCGGTCAATGAAAGGATCTTTTTCAAATAGTTGTATATCCTAAAACTCATTTCAGATGTGCCATCGTAGATAAGATCACACACAGAGTTTCTGGGGTGATGACAACAGATGTGCCTGACGCATTTTGAATCGTAGAGCCTACTCCCTGGCAGCCCTCCTGCACTGCCTTTCTGGGGCTCCAAGAAACATTGGTTTTTTGGGTATTTTTTTTGGGGGGGGAGGGGTGTGTGTGGGTTTTTTTGTTTTGTTTTGGTTTGGTTTTTTACACATATCAAGTAAAGTATCTGCATCAAAACAGATTCCTCTTTGGACTAAACAACAAGGAATATTCACAAGAAGCAGCACAAAGCTTTTGGTTTGGTTTTGGATGGAACATGCAGAGTTCCATCTTGGGGAAGACGTGTGGGGAAGGATATACTGATACAAAATAACACCATTTCAGATGGAGCAGGGAAGAAAACTGTGCATGAAAGGATCATAACTGTCTTTACTTGGCACGGTCTTTCACTTGTTGCTCTGAACCTGCCCTATGGCTGGATACAGAAGGAGAGATGTGATAAATCTTCTCTGGCGATACATCTTGCTTGCTTCTCCTGAAGTGATGTTATCTTTTTCCTAGTGCAGGAATGTGGC